AGTCATACCGAGTAGTTTAGAACATAACTTTTTTGAGGTTAGATTTTTCAATCCAGATATGATATGAACTTGAACATCATTCAATTTTACACTAAAAAGGTACTCTTGGTGAAACTCGATACAATGTTCCATTTTCGGAATATTTCGATTTGAAAATAATGGAGTAATAGCTGATGCTGGTACAAAAATGAATTTTGTTGAGTTCAATTACCTATTTTTCCAAATTCAAATACAATGAAATCATTCTTGTACTGAAGTTATTGATGTAACAAAGAATCATAAGTAGAAAATTAAGATATTTGACTGGAAACATCAAATATAATATCAGTTAGAGTGGGTGTTCAAAATGTCCTACGATTCGACGAATACACGATTCTATATTCTTTTCTTGAGAATGTAATATTCTTTTAAACAGTTGAGAATCAGCTAGTAGGTACTTTGAGTAATGTTCAATTATGTCTTACAACTCTTGACGTGAATTTACCTATGAAGCATAAACTTTCTGCTCAAGATACAACAAAACTGTGAAATCCATGTTCTTAGTCAAATCTGTTTCGATGTTATTCTTATGATTCATTGTTAAATCAATAAGTTCAGCATCAGAAATGTATTGTTGTTTTCTGTTTTCAATAAATAGGTGATAATTTTTCATAATATACTCACTCTAATACATATCTTTATACCAGCAACAGTTATCACTTCATCATTTTCAAATCGAAATATTCCGAGAACGGAACACAGTATCGAGTTTTACCAAGAGTATCTTTTTGGTGTGGAATTGAATGATGTTCAAGTTCACATCAAATTTTGATTGAAAAATCTAACCCCAAAAAAGTTATGTTCAAAACTACTCGGTGCGAACCGTGAAACTAGCGCCGTCTATGAGAGTCAGATATAAAAACAAATGCATGCGATGTGTCAGATTCCAAGAAACATCCATACAAAATTTCATCACAATGTTGCCAGTAGTTTCGACGTAATCTTGAAAAATGTGTAAAAAAATTATTTTTTCAACACCTTGTATCTTGATAACGGATGCCGTTACGAAATTTTTTACTGAGTAAACCCAATATATTTTGCAGTGTTCTACCTACCCTAGTAAGGGGGTCAGGTTTTTTTTAAACACCCTGTATACAGGATGGTCATTATCACAGTGTACCGGGTGATTAATCCCTGATTTATTTCCATACTGAATATCAATTCAAAACTGGGTGTGTATGATTTGCGGACTGGAATAAAATGCTTCGGACTGGCTATTTCCAGCAAACAAATCGTTGTTTTTATTGCATATCTGGATTCAGCTCATTGAACTACAGGATAAAAAGTTTCTGATTTTTTTCACTGACCCCCCAAGGGAGCACTTGACTCGTGTGTTTTTTCATAAAATCTTGCGAACTGGGTATTTTTGGAAGTCAAATCAACTCAATTTTACTGAAATAGTAGATTGTTTCATTAGGATCAAAAGTGACACTTTGTTTGACAAGCGAATTTTGCATTTGCGAGGCGGAGCGTTTAGCGAAGCCGACCGAAAGCGAAAATTGCGAGTCGAACAAAGTCACTTTTGATCCGAATGAAACATGTTATTTTTTCTGCAACCGAAACAATTAACTCGAATAAACATGTGAAGTAACCACCAATGCCGTACCATATGTATGCAATGCAACAAATATTGACAAATAATCCGTGTGGTGAGAATATTTTACCTGCATTAACAGCAGGTTAGGTTTTCAAGGATGTTCGAATTGTAGTTTCAATATAAATACAACCACAGAGTGACATATTTGTGTATGGACCAGGTGCTCTAATGGCAAATACCGCGCCAGTGCCAGCTATAGGAACAAGACGTGGAAAATGTTAGGTTAGTGAGCATATCAACATAATCAACAATGATAATAGTGATTATTTATTCCTCTCCATACCACACTGTGTTCGACTTGATAATCAAATGGAGCTAAACAATATCGTTGTTTGAGACAAAAAAAACTATTGCTTGCCGTGAATATTCAAAAACAAGTTATCCATCCCGAGAATAACGAATGAAATACAGATCAAGCAAGTATTCGAATCTTGAAGGCTTCCCTGATCAAAACAAAAATACTTAACTGAGATGTTTATAATTCCAATACTAAACTATAGTAAGGTGTATTTATATCTCCAGCATGGTTATGAAATGCCAAATCTGCTGAAATCGGAAGCAAATCAGGTATTCGTCTCAACCCAAATAACCAGCCGTCACAATGTTGTTTATTCTTGATGACGTCCAGTATATCCTTTTTAGTTCCTAGGAGCTAAAGTTCAACTTTAGCTCCTAGGAACTAAAATTCAACTTTAGCTCCTAGGAACTAAATATGTTGCATAGCAACATACCAATTTTTGTGTCAGTAATAGAAACGTCAATTTAAGAGCTAATTTTATTATCAAAATGGACGACTTTTGTGTCGGTTGCAGAAAAATCAATTTATCTCATGAAAATACACGATGAGAAGTTTTTGAAATTTTCCCCTAGAACCCTGGGGAGCACTTTACTCGTGTGTTTTTTCGTGAAATCTTGCGAACTGGGTATTTTCGCAAGTCAAATCAACTCAATTTTATCAAAAATTCGATTTATCTCATGAAAATACACGATGAAGAGTTGTTGAAATTTTTCCCTAGAACCCTGGGGAACACTTTGCTCGTGTTTTTTTTTTAATAAAATCTTGCGAACAGGGTACTTTTACCAGTCAAATTATCTCATCTTTCTCAAAAATCGATTTATCTCATGAAAATACACGTTGAAAAGTTTTTTAAATTATTCCCTAGCCCCCCTGTGGAGCACTTCACTCGTGTGTTTTTTCCGAAAATCTAGCGGACTGGGTATTTTTGCATGTCAAATCAACTCAATTTTACAAAAAATCGATTTCTCTCATGAAAATGCACGATGAAAAGTTTTCGAAATTTTTCCCCAGCCCCCCTGGAAAGCAATTCACTCGTGTGTTTGTTCATAAAATCTTTACCAGTCAAATCATCTCAATTTTCTCAAAAATCAATTTATCTCATGAAAATACAGGTTAAAAATTATTTAAAATTATTCCCTTAAATCGATTCATCTCATGAAAATACACGATGAAAAGTTTTTGAAATTTTTCCATAGCCCCCCTGAGAAGCACTTTCTAGTGTGTTTTTTCATAAAATCTTGCGGACTGGGTATTTTTGCAAGTCAAATCAACTCAATATTACCAAAAATTGATTTATCTTATGAAAATTGTTCTAAATGTCATCCAGAAGACACGCGGAAAAGAAGGTGAAATTTGTAACTTTATAGTAAATTATCTTGATAAATAATGGTTTGTTCACATTTATCCATTATCAAATTCGTGTTATTCAGACAAAAATAAATAGGTACCAAAAAAAAATCACCTTTATAATATCACGAGAGCTTCAAAGACGAGGGAGAATTTGCTAAACATTCGTGTTCGAGAAAAAATTCCCGGATATTCATTGAAACTAAAGTGGTATTCGGTAAGAAAATTTCACACCAAACATTTTCGATCAATTTAAAGGAATTCCAGCAACACTTAGATGATTTATTTGAAAATAATAATGGTTGTTTGTGATGAAATGTAACAATTCGACATGTCTTTTTGTAAATTTCGAATTTGCAAGTATATCTACCTAATATTATATGGTAAACTGTTGATAAATGATTTTTATTCATTGACTCATAGAATGAACTCGAAATAATCAGAAGTTGAATGTAAATGTCATTTTTCTGCAACCGACACAAAAGTCGTCCATTTTGATACCAAAATTAGCTCTTAAATTGACGTTTCTATTACTGACACAAAAATAGGTATGTTGCTAGGCAACATATTTAGTTCCTAGGAGCTAAAGTTGAATTTTAGTTCCTAGGAGCTAAAGTTCGACTTTAGCTCCTAGGAACTAAAAAGGATGTACTGGACGTCATCAAGAATAAACAACATTGTGACGGTTGGTTATTTGGGCTGAGACGCATACCTGATTTGTTTCCGATTTCAGCAGATTTGGAATTTCATACCCATGCTGAAGATATGAATACACCGTATTATAGTTTAGTGTTGGAATCATAAACATCTTAGCTAAGTATTTTTGTTTGATCAGGGAAGCCTTCAAGATTCAAATACTCGCTTGATCTGTATTTCATTCGTTATTCTCGGGATGGATAACTTGTTTTTGAATAATCACGGCAAGCAATAGTTTTTTGTCTCAAACAACGATATTGTTTAACTCCATTTGATTATCAAGTCAAACGCAGTGTAGTATGGAGAGGAATAAATACTCACAATTATCATTGTTGATATGCTCACTAACCTAACATTTTCCACGTCTTGTTCCTATACCTGGCACTGGCGCGGTATTTGCCATCTGAGCACCTGGTTCATACACAAATATGTCACTATGTGTTTGTATTTATATTGAAACTACAATTCGAACATCCTTGAATATTGAATAAACCTGCTGTTAATGCAGGTAGAATATTCTCACCACATGGATTATTTGTCAATATTATTTGTTGCATTGCATACATATGGCACGGCATTGTTGGTTATTTCACATATTTATTTGAGTTAATTGTTTCGGTTGCAGAAAAAATAGCATGTTTCATTCGGATCAAAAGTGACTTTGTTCGACTTGCAAATTTTGCTTTCGCTTGGCTTCGCTAAACGCTCCGCCTCGCAAATGCAAAATTCGCTTGTCAAACAAAGTGTCACTTTTGATCCTAATAAAACAATCTACTATCAAACTATAAACGTCAAAAAATTTCCACTGCTATTTCATGCTCCGCTCCCTAAGGAGGAGGAATAAATTTACAAGAAATTTGTTCAGTTGCTATAGTAACGAAGCTTTAAATTGATCGAAAATGTGGTGTGAAATTTTCGAAAAAAAAAACATCGCATGATAAATGCAGTTTTACCTTTATTTAGAGTAATCTAGAGGAATACAAAATTCAACAAACAAAAAAACCTCGGTGCCTCTTTTTCCAGACAGAGATCGAGACTATATCGGCTTCGCCACCTTGCCGGACCAAGTGCATCGCAAGTCCGTCAAAAGAGGCTTCGATTTCACCCTGATGGTCGTGGGCGAGTCGGGACTGGGCAAGTCCACCCTCATCAACAGCCTCTTCTTGGAGGACCTCTACAAGACCAGGCGGATACCGGACGTCAGCGAGCGCATCCAGAAGACGACGACCATCGAAAGGAAAACTATGGAAATTGAGGAGAGAGGCGTGAAATTGAGGTAGTTGAGTAGTTGAGCCCCTCACACTGATTTAATGGTCGGTTTTGATCATTTAGACGTATCTGATCTGTCGCAGTATTGTTATTTTGAAATGCTATTGTAGTTCACACTGTATTATCGTCATTAGATAGCGGAAGAAAAAGTTGAATTTGTTATAAAAAAAGAATTAATGTCAAGTTGATTGAAAATGAAGAAAGAAAAGTCAGTCATATATTTTCTTGATAAAAAATACATTGAAATCAGTATTTTACATGATGCATTTTCAAGATATTATCTTCGTCTAAGAATGGTGACAGTTTGATGATCTTACTGTTCCTATCAATCAGCCTCTTCCTCGTCAATTCATTTATTTCATCCTGAAAACTATCAGCTTGACTGCTTCTGAGACATATTTTCTCGGCTTCCCCTACTTCTTCAATAGTCAATTCGTGCCCTGTTTTCTCACTTTATCTACCCCAAGTGTCACTACACAAAACTGAGCATACTGAGAGGGGCAGAAGTAGATCTAGAAGTAGACAAAAGGATGAAAATAATAGCAGAAAAGATTATCATAGGCATGCAGAAAGGGATAGGGAGAAATTGGACAGGAATAGAAAAGGAGAAAGCCAAAGCCAAGATAGAAGAAATGATGGCAGAGAGAAAAAAAGTTATGATAGGAGGAGGGATGACAGTAGAGAAATAAATGAGAATAGAGAACAGAGAGATAGACATGATGATAGGGCAAGAGATCCATCTAGAGAAAATTATGATAGATGGGAAAGGAATGACAGAGACAGAAGAAATTATAGGAGAAATAGGGGTAGAAGAAGTAGTTCATATGATCATGCCAATGCCAAATGGGGCAAATCGGATGACCCTGCAAAAACGAACAAAAATGAATCCGGCTCGAAGGACCATGTGAAATACTGATTTCAATGTATTTTTTATCAAGAAAATATATGACTGACTTTTCTTTCTTTATTTTCAATCAACTTGACATTAATTCTTTTTTTATAACAAATTCAACTTTTTCTTCCGCTATCTAATGACGATAATACAGTGTGAACTACAATAGCATTTCAAAATAACAATACTGCGACATGATCTTTGTTTTCTTCATCATTTAGAATGAAGACATTTTGAAGAATTATTGAAAAGATGAGTTTTTTTTGAGAAATAAAAAAAAAACATTGTTGAAATATTCAACAGTAAACAATTCAACTATACTTTCCTGGCTAGTATCCGGCAAACGTATTGCTATACCTATACATTATGTCTAGAAGATATTTTTTAAGTTAAATATTCATCAGCACACTTTTATTATTTCAATTTCCTCTTCTTTTCAGTTTGGCTACCTATAAGGGCGTGTTTCTTTAGTTTTTTAATTCTACTATTCATCACAAAGCTTGTTCGCCATATTGGATTCGTCATCTTGAATTATCCCAATTTTGAAGAAAAAATTATAATCTCCGACCCTGAAAACCTCCAGATATCAATTTTAAATGGAATCGTATCATGATTAAAAAAATTCATTCGCCATATTAGATCCGCCATCTTGAATTTCCCAATTATGATGAGAGAATCAATCTCCGACACCGAAAACCCCCAGATACAAATTTTGAATGGAATCGGATAATAATTACAAAACCCGTCCGCCATATTGGATCCGTTATCTTGAATTTCCCGTTGAATCATATAATCTCTGGCCCTGAAAACTCTCAGATACAAAGTTTGAATAAAATCGGATCATAATTAACTCGTTCGCCGTATTAGATCCGCCATCTCAAATTTCCCAATTTTTACGAAAAAATATCAATCTCGGACCCCGAAAAACCCCAGATACCAATTTTAAATAGAATCGGATCATAATTAGAAAACTCATTCGCCTGATATTGGATCCGCCATCTTGAATTTCCCAATGAATCATAATTTCCGACCCCGAAAATCTCTGATACCAATTTTTAATAGAATATTGGATCATAATTACAAAACTTGTGCGGCATATTGGATTCGCCATCTTGAATTTCCCAATTTTTACGAACAAATATTAATCTCGGACCCCGAAAGGCCTCAGATACCATCGCAATTTTAAATAGAATCAAACAAAATTATTAATATCGTATTTCTTATGAAATTTGGTATACAACTATTTGAACCCAATGTTTATTTTAAACTGTTCGTAAAATTATCGCTATTATGATTTCTTGAATTTTAACCTCTAAAAATATACGCAGTGGTCTTCAGTTCTCGTAGCAAAAAAATATGATTCATCCTAAAGAACAGTTTTGCATGCTCCACAATTATTCAAAACAAAGTTCGTCGAAGTCTGTGAATAAAAAAAAATTATTGAGGTGTGTATCCCGCTTTCAAGTGGGTCACACTGTATATGACGTTTTGTGCAGCGTTTTCCAAATGTAGAGAAGCCTATACCAACGTATCATCACCAATCATTTTTGAGCATTTTCAAAATATCATTGCAAATTTTCAGGTTCATATTACAATGGGCTTATATCACTCACCCAAACTAGCTCACTACCGCAAACCGTTTCTTGCTGTGAGCTCCCTACGTTTTATAAAAAATTATTGAAATTCCCGATTTTTCGGACCTCTGAAAACGAGGCGATGATGTGACGTCAAAACCCTAATACAGAAACAAGACTATTCCAGACAGAGATGAATGATACATGATTTCTGACAGAGTGAATTAGCGCGAGATCACAGTTGAAAGAATTAGTATATCAGTTGCCTCAGTCTCCGTCGGGCGTTTGGTATTTTCTTTGAACTATGGCGAGATGAGGTTTCTACGTCATAAGAGGGTCCGTTTTCAGAAGGTACTATTATTTATGTTCAAAAATGAAACGTTCCAGTTAATTTTTCGATCGAATTATGTCGTCAATCATTATTTATGTATAAAAGGATCATTATAAACATGGTTTGAGTTAAAAGTTCTACTAAGGTGTACACGCCCATTTACGAAAGTTTCAATTTGACATACATAACTAACGCCTTCAGCAACAGATTTTTCGTGCATAAACAAGTATCATACCGTTTTGCCAATGGAAAAATTCAATGTCAATATGGTTATGTACAAAATGGTAGATTCCAATTAGCTAAACACTTGTCAAGACGATGAAATGTCGGTTCAATTACATATTAATTAATGAATATCAATATTTTCAGACTAACCATTATTGATACTCCTGGATTTGGGGATGCTGTCAATTGCGAAGACAGTTGGAGAGTGTGCATCAACTACATCGACGAACAATTCAGACAATATTTCACTGACGAGAGTGGCCTGAACAGAAGGAACATCCAGGACAACAGAGTTCACTGTTGTTTATATTTCGTGCCACCATGGGGACACAGGTATTCAATAATTTATTTAGGATACTTAATTGGAATTTTGTTCAGTCTTCAATATAGTGAATATTTGAAAATATTTGAAAATACACTCAGTTCCAAAAAAAGTGACGCACTTGATATTTGACCTATCTTCTTAAAAAAAAAATAGTAGACCGATTTTTTTTTATTTGTTGGTAGGTAATGCATTTGTCTTTAAAAAAACAATAAAGAGGTGAAAATTTTCTCAAAGCCTCCTTGATGGTGGTGGAATAACTTTAACCATGATTTATTCTTAGTTTTTGACTCACCCTGTGTGTTAATTGAGCAATGGCATAGAAAGTGCTTGCACCCTATACGAAAGAGGCTTCTTTTGCGAGCATTTTGTTTTTTTATTCATTGATTTATCTCTAAAATTTTTCGAATTACAGCTTTTTTTGCTGAATCCTTGCAGATTACCAACTTTCTGAATTTATAGAGAAACAATTTTCTGATGAAATAAACTGATACCAATAATTTTAAAAAACATTTTTATTAAACACAAAATTATAAATTGGGATGACTGCTCAATACCGTGTATTGCCTCCTTTAGCAACTCTAAGAACTTCTAATCTACGAGGCATACTGGAATTTAAGTTGCTTATCGTTTCGATTGGTATACGATCCCATTCTTCCACTAATGGCATCTGCCATTTCTGCGAGACTTTCCGGAGACCTCTCGCGAGAACTTACCCTTCTCCCTAATTCATCCCACAAATGTTCTATAGGATTCATATCGGGGCTTCTCGCAGGCCATTGTAATGTGATAATACCAGTAGCTTCTAAGAAGTTTCGCACTATTGCTGCGGTGTGTGGTCGGGCATTATCCTGCATCAATATAAAATTATTGCCCACTAACTCTGTATAAGGTAAGACATACTGCTCTAAAATGTCAATGTAAATTTGGGCATTCATCGACTGCCTCACCGGAAAAACATGAAGGGGTGTCTTTCCATTCATTGAAATCCCTCACCACACCATAACGGACCCACCATTAAAACTTTCGCATTCTGTTATTCAATTTTGATTAAACCGTTCACCAGTTCTTCTCCACACTCTTTTTCTCCCATCCACCATGTTAAGGCAAAACCTTGACTCATCCGTAAACAAGACATTCGACCATTCAGGAATATTCCACTGTCCATAATTTTCAACAAAATTTCTTCTAGCAGCTCGGTGTTCGGGCAATAATTTGGGACCTTTTGCAGGTCTCCTAGCTTTTGAATTAACTTCTTTCAGACGTCTACATACCGTCTGCTTACTTACTGCAACATGACGAATTTGGCGAAGATCTTGCTGAACATTTACCGCAGTATTTGATCGATTCCGTAAAATCCGAAATCTCAAGAAACAATCATCTCTTGGAGAAGTTTTTCGGGGGCGACCAGAACCGACCCTCCGAGCGGTGCTTCCTGTTTGTTCGTACTTGCGGATTGCTCTACGAGCAGTTGCTTCATGAACTTCCACTGCACGAGCGGCGTAACGTTTACTACGCCCATCGTTTACTAACGCAACTAATCTTGCTACTTGTTCAGGATTTATTGGAATATGTACCAATAGGTATATAATTATGTACTTCCTTATACCAGAGCCTATTCTGGCTGGAAGTTATTTGTTCAATAAATGAATAAATGAATAAAAGTATCAATTTTTTTATGATCCCCCTGCATAAGCTTTCATGGTGGAAAAATTAGGTCTGGTTGGAGACTTACAATGTCTCAAAATTTCAGAATTATATTTATTGAGGTTATTGAGTATACTCTCAATCATAGACACCTACATTAAAATTTGGAGCTGAATCGAATTTTTAATTGTTTCCTTCAAAACCATAAAGTGTAGAAAAGTAGTAAAGTATTTTCAGTAGTTCATTGAAAAACTTTTTTTAATGAAAACATTGGTATCTCAAAAACAGAGCAAAATATGATAAATTGATATAACAAGGATTCAAGACCGCTAAATTTTTCAAGCTTGTTCATTCACACCCTGTATTTAATAAAGATTCTTGCTGCCTAGCTCATTTTACTAATCTACAGTTTTCTCAATAACAGGATATTATTCTTGAGAAACAGATGATTCGGATGTGAAAGCATAAACACTATAACAATCTAAGATTATTTTCAAATGCATTTTTTTTCTTTAATTCCAGTTTGAGACACATGGACCTCGAACTAATGAAGAGACTGCACCATAAAGTTAATATTGTAGTTGTGATAGCCAAAGCAGATACTCTGACTACTACAGAAGTTGCCAAATTGAAAAAGAACATTCTGAATGATATCAGAGAAAATCATATACAGGTAATTTATTTTAAATACAAGGTAATAGCTCTTTTTCATTTTCAATTAATCATAGAGCATTAGAGATGACAAAATGTTGTAATAGTGGCAAATACACTTCCCAAAAAATTACGAACCACCAAAAAGTATCCAAAAGTTATGCGAATACAGTTTGTACTCCAATGTTCAGAAGGAAACAACCTGACATTCTAAACAAAAAACGTTCAAATCGGCCAAGTAGTTTTGACAAAAATGTTTATTAAACTTTTGGTCTGTTTTTGGTGGTGCCTCAATTTCTTGGAGAAGTGTAGTTCTACATCAATAAAGATCAATTCAGAGATATCTGAAGAAGTTATGGCGTTAATTTGGGCACTAATTCAGTGTAACTGGGAATTCAGGTTAGTAAAACATTAAATTCTGAAAATATTGCATTTTACTTCTTCTACAGTGTCATTCATAAAGTCGGCATCATATGGGAAACATTAATGACTAATTTAGAAATTCGAGTTGGACGTTAAGTTTTGCTTCAAACAAGATGAAAAATGGCCTACTCAATCGGGGTCACGTGACTTCCGCTACATGTCAAAAGTGACATTTTTTCAAATTAATCGCTGAAAGTAGGCTTATTTGTTCGAATATCGAAAAAGTTTACTTGAAAAAGTTGTTTCTTTTTAAATTTTACATATGTGACTCGGATTTTATCTTTCTATTACATTTTTTAGATTTCGATATTTTTTAAAAATTTTCGAAATTTCTGTAATATTAAAAAAATTGTAAATTCGATAAAACTACTTGATACCAGTAGCTTCATCATGCTACTTACTTTCAATTACTAATTATCACTAATTATCGACAAAAATATGATTTTCTTCAGAAAATGATAATCTCCGCTTCAAAATTCTGTTATGTTTGATGCAAACATAACATCAAAATTCTGTTATTTTTGAGTCAAGCATTAAGAAACGAAATTCATTTAAATTTATTTTTCCATTACTGAAAAGATCAGTTTAAATGAATTTCGTTTCTAAATGCTTGACGATATATCAACTTTGCATCGAACATAACAGAATTTGGAAGTGGGGATTATCATTTTCTGAAGAAAATCATATTTCTGTCCATAATCGGTGATAATAAGTCATTGAAAGTAACTGGCATGAAAAAGCTACTGGTATGAAGTAGTTTCGTGGAATCAACAATTCTTCAAATATTACAGAAATTTCAAAACATTTGAAAAAATCAAAATCTAAAAATTGCAATAAAAAGATCAAATTCGAGAAGCATGTGTTAAATTGAAATAGAAACAACTTTTTCAAGTAAACTTATTCGATATTCGAACAAATAAGCCTACTTTCAGCGATTAATTTGAAAAAATGTCACTTTTGACATGTAGCGAAAGTCACGTGACCCCGATTGAGTAGGCCGTTTTTCATCTTTTTTGAAGCAAAACTTAACGTCCAACTCGAATTCCAAAATAAGTCATTAATAAAAGTTTTTCCCATATGATGCCGACTTTATGAATGACACTGTATATCCATTTTTAAAATAACTTGATAATCTGAATTCTGAATAGAATATTGCCGTCTTTGAATTTCATTTGAACAAATTGAATTACATTTAATGTTTACTGATTCTACTACAATTTATTCACTTCAATTACAGCTCATAAGTTCTCTCAATGGGGTTGTACATACACACTAGTAGAATTTACGCCACAAACCTATTTCATATTGATCATTGCGTGTATGAATAGTATTTTATGTAATCATTCGTCTTTCGAAATCAGCGCAAATATATTTTTTTCAATAATAATGAAATTCGGTACCTTCGAAAAACACCAGCTTCGATTACGTCATGATTCGAACCGAAAGTCATCGTAATCTCAATTCTGGCTTTTGCATAAAAAGTAGGACCACATATTTCGAGGCTGTCAGATTTGTAACAAGTAATTAAGTACCTTATGAGATTCAATATGACCAATGACAACAGTATTCACATTCACAGATTACAATAGTTCGACGACCTGGTCTCTAATAATCACTTATTGAATACTTATATACTTGCAAGATGATTTAGTACCAATAAAAATATCCTAGTATTCCTAATAATCATGGAGATTTTATTTAAACCCAGATTATTTTGTCTCACTGGCAACAGCGTAATGCCTAGAGTTCCCAGAAATACAAGAAGAGAAGATGAAGACGAACTATACATTGTCAACCTAACTTCCTAACTTCACCTTCATCTTCAAATCCTTGTTTCATTTAGTCTAGATGCGAATATTCGAAGATATTCCTCTTATTATCTGATTATTCAATTGTGTGTTGTGTTCTCTGTTATCTGCAGTAAGTATTCAGTCTAGAAAATTCACTAGAGTCTAGGGGGAGCACCTTCTGAGGAGGAAAACTTTTTTCATATTTTTGTTGAAATGACAATCAGAAATATGCTTGCATTTCTCTTACAGAAATAGAGAATAGACGGTTTGCGACAGTGATAACTAGTTAGTATTTTTTAATAATAAAATGAAATGAGTTCTTCACTCAAATAGGCCCATTGATATTAAAAAAAGTGCACTGAAAATATAAATTTCAAAAACCCCATGAATATGATGTTGTTGAAAGTTTTTTTCTGGTATCGTCTCTGACAGGCTTTATTGGGGTATAGACAATAGTAGAAAACTAAAAAGCCCGACCCTATATACAGTGTGTCAGCAGTCAGAGCCAAAACAAAAGTTACATTATTTTCTAGATGTATGAATTTCCCGAGTGCGATAGTGACGAAGACGAAGAATTCAAACAGCAAGACAGAGAATTGAAGGCCAGCGTTCCCTTTGCCGTGGTGGGAAGCAACACGACACTAGAGATAGCTGGGAAAAAAATCAGAGGCAGGCAGTACCCTTGGGGAGTAGTGGACGGTAATACTCAGACAATTGAACTTATTTCCGTCAACATCATAAAATTCCTTTAGTAATTATCATTCATTTCATATAGTTTCATGTTTGAAATCAGATTTCAAACATTTCATGTAAAATGTTAAAATTGATTTGTTGGTATATCATATGGCAAGACTGGCAAGAGACTTTCGATTACTTTCTGTATAATGCAGATATTTTATTGAAATTGTTTTTTGATCAGTATTTATAAACCTAAATCAAATCGTTAATGCTACTGAATATGTGGGAACGGGGGATTATATTTGCAATTTTTCTTCAAGTTTTGTACAGCTCCAATAACAGGAGATATTTTTCTGATCAATACTTTTTTGTTTTTTTTTTCAATTGCATACCTCGTTGGTATCTATAATATATATCTATAATATGTTTATCAAAAGTCATCTGATATTTGGATTGTATTTTTCAGTTGAAAATCCGAAGCATAGCGATTTCATTAAATTGCGAACCATGTTGATTTCAACGCATATGCAAGACTTGAAAGATGTAACGGAAGACGTTCATTACGAAAATTTCCGAGCTCAATGTATATCACAAATATCACAGCATGCAAGAGAACGAGGGTAAGTCGTCTGAAGTTCGTGTACTATGTCTACATTAGTTAAGTAAAATGATTTCTGAAGTTGAGAGCTGATGAATATGTTTTTCCCATTGTCTCCTAAATCTGCAGAAAAAATCTAGTGAGCTTCTCTCCATATTTAGCAGACAATGGTTTTTTCATTCTGTCTTTGTCTTCACGGTTCCAACGTAAAAGAATTGAAATTTTAGTTTTGTAAGGTTTCGTATTCTTTATGTTGAGATCATGAAATTCTTTTACGCACGACCAGGCATACAGTAGCCCTCTACCGCCTGGTTTTGAGGGTGTAAAGTAGCACTTTACCGCCCGAGGACTACTTTACCGCCCGGGTAAAGCATTCCTGTATGTACATTTATGTTATAGGTATCATAGTTCCCTGTCTACAGTTCTCTTGATATTTCTGAGATGCAAAAATGATATGATTGAACCAAAAATATGTTATCTGTGATGACATAATGATGGTTGACAGAGAATATAATCGGCTATATTTGTACTGTCAGTAGATCCACTGACAGCTGGATAAAATAAAATGAAAAATACTGAACACGTTTTCATGGTTTTCCATCATCAGTAGTCAGCAGCGTCAAATCAGTTGGTGAAATTTGAATATTATTCTCAGCAGCAATTATCTGAATAACAGGCATTTTCTGGTATTAAAAATGATTTTATTAAGTCATTATTGAAAACTCATATGTTTAAAAAACCATTGAAATAAATGGAAACAATGAAATAAATGTGACATTCCTTCCCTCTCTATAATAATGAAATAATGACAGTTCACTGAAGCCACACACCTTTTTGATAGTCAGAAATTCCAGCAGAATGTTGAGTCGACATATTTGGAATGAATAGTATTTGTGCTCACAAGTTTCTGTCACTTTCAGTGAAATCTTTTGATTTCGGAATGAAAAATCAGCAGATTCAGTACCTGCTCTCAGTTGAATTCGGAATATAGCCATTGTTCAAAAAATTGACGGGATTACCATGATGGTAATGTCGATTCCATCGATGATATTCTTCACTGCAGCCGTGATATGTGTTTCTATCATTCCTGCGTTCTTGTTAGGGAAAGAAGGTATTCCACTCTGGATTCATCGGAAAAACAATCTCCAAACATAACGCCAATTGACAGTCATATGCCCGAGATCTCTTTTCGCCGTCGTACTTTAAGGAAGATTTTAATGGGTCTCAACACCAACAAAGCTTGTGGCTCCGACGGAATCCCACCGATTGTTCTCAAGAAATGTGCTCCCGAACTAACACCTGTTCTCTGCATGTTGTTCAACTACTCTTACAAATTGGGGATATTCCCGTCCAACTGGAAAATTGCAAGACTACAACCAGTTCCTATAAAAGGCAAAAAGACCCTCCCTAGCAACTACAGACCGATCACACTGCTATCTATTATTTCAAAGATCATGGAGAAAACTATCAACATCGAGCTCATGGAATACCTGGAACATTCAGATATTATCAACGATAGGCAATATGGCTTCACATAATATATGGCAGCAATCTATTGGAAAATATGGTGGAACCTTAGCCGTGGCACTTGATATGTCCAAGGCATAGGATCGAGTCTGGCACCACGGACTCCTCACCAAGCTTCCATGTTATGGCTGCCTCCCCAACTATGTTCTCTGCTAGCTAGTTTTCTCTCAACCAGCTCTCTCCATGTAGTGGTCGACGGAGTTTCATCTGACTTTCTTATCATGAATGCTGGTGTTCCGCAAGGATCAATTGTAACACCAACACTATTTTTTCTACTCCATATCAATGATTTGTTGAAAGCAACTTCATGTCCAGTACACATAGCTTCGTGGATGATAGTACCCTCCATACCGCCAGGCAAATCAGAAACGAACGAGGGAGAAATGTTGACAACATAAATATGGACTTGGCAACAATTCTAAAATGGGGATCCAATAACTTGGTAGATTTCAATGCAAACAAAACACAAGCATGCCTTTTCTCTAGGAAAGCCGATCTCACTTTCGATGCTCGGTATTAATATCAGCAATAACTTTTCTTGGGAAAATCATGTGAGATCAATTGCTAGAAGTGCATCCCAAAAGCTTGGTTTTCTGTTTCGGGCCAGGAGCTATTTCACTTCCAGTCAGCTGCTTATGATCTATGAGGCACAGATCTGACCTGTCCTAGAATACTGTTCCCATATTTGGAGTGCAGCACCCAAACATACCCTGAAACTGTTGGATTCTGTCCAAAAAAGGGCAATTTGTCTTGCTCACAAACTCACTCGATCACTTCTCTGGAACACCGTAGAAAAGTTGGCGATCTGGCTCTATTTTATAGATATTTTCATGGACGATGCTCTTCTGAAATATCAACAATTGTACCTTCCTTGGCAGTCCCCGCGGGATTAACCCGTCGAGTTGAGGCTTCGCACCCCTTCGTGGTCACTTTTGGAGACCTGCAGAACATCTCTTTCTAAAGACTCGTTCATCCAACGAACAGTGAGGCTCTGGAACACATTGCCAAGGGAAATGTTCCCCGAGGCATATAACCTCCAGAAATTTAAGAAGAACACCAATTCCTACTTTATTTTCCTTGGTTCTCACGATGTTCTCTGAACATGACAGGATATCCCTTTTCGTTTGAACCAGAACATAAAAAAAAACATTCACAGTGAAGAATCAATTATACCGGTCATGCATAAAATGTTGTATGTCTTTCGGGCGTAACTTGCTTTTATGGACCTAGGCGTGTTGCTTCCACGCTACGGTCTCTAATAGCCTATGTTACGCCATTGATACATAAATAACTAATAATTTTACGTTATATCCCTTGGTTGTAGCCCTGTAATAAAAAATAATAGTAGATTTGAATAATTTCAGGAAACTCAAAAGGGACTCGGCACCATATGAATCTGATATTTCAGACACTGACAGACTATTGATACAAAAGGATGAGGAGGTAACTAACTAAAAAAATCAATGTTGTAATTTTTGAGTGGTATACTAATGGTTTGACTTTTTTTAGATACGCCGTATGCACGAGATGCTGAAGCAAATGCAAGAGAAACTCAAAATCGAAGCTCAAGATAATAACAAGAAACACGAAAGTATTATAGATGTGTAGAATTATTGATATGTAGGTATAGCTACATTGTTTTCTTATGACCAAAGAGTGATAGATGATTTGTTTTCCTTTGTTTTAGCTATTTTTATGTGTATTTAATTTATGAATTTTATTATGTTACTAATAAACGTTTCTTTCGAGAATCTTCATGGCCATATTTTCATGTGGAACAGTTATGATTTATAGCCTATATAATGCTTTAATATGCATTTATTTTGTATAATTACCAAGCTTTTCTGGTCAAAAGACTAGTTGATAATCACTTTTGATACCTTATCTCATAATACAGTAACCAATTACCTGATTCTGTGAGTTACTAAAATTTGTCGGCAAAAAACTATATACTGTCTGTAGGTTAATCGAGGAGGTGGTACATTCATTATTCAAAACTGAAAATACAATGAGATCAATTCTAACTCAAACAAAGCCGAAAAATGAAGAACAATCGTCAAAAAATTGTATTTACAGTATACCTTGTGTTTGTGGAAAGTTTTATACAGGTGAAACCAAGAGACCTCTTTCAGTAAGGACGAAGGAACATAAGTACAATATAAAGAAAAGAAACATCGATAAATCGAAACTAGCTGAACATATCCTTACTGAAGACGGACAACATATGGCAGAGTGGAATGATATTAAAATCATTGGAAAAGAAGATATCAACCAGAAGAGAAAAATCAAGGAATCTGCTTGCATTCTTCTGAACGGAGACAATAGCATTGCTTCTTGTTCAGTTGATATAGACAGAACATGGTATTCACTACTAAAATCTGAACATGAAAATGGTAAATTCAAGATTAATTAATGAAAACATCCTGTAACTCCTTTGATTGCCAACGTCACCAAGTGTCATTGAAAACTGAAAAGCTTCAAGACATATTATACGACTTCGCAATTGAAAAAATCTCTTCATGTTGAAAACGGGAGCAGAATCGGTCCCGAAACGTCCAAAGATAAGTGAAAATTTGATATTTTTTTCTATATACCTTTATTTCTCTTCTCCAAAAATTTTTCAATACAAATTGTCACTGACAAGCTAGTGAATTTTTCTTTTAGGCTCTCAGATAGGAAAATTCTTTAAACGCAGTGACATTTTGGGGCAAATCATCTGATTTGTCCTTACTACACGTATATTGAAATAATATTCATATTTTTATTTTATAGAAACGAGGAGAGAAAATCCCAAAAAATTTGGAATAATGAAAAAACTATATCTTCTAAAATTAATGGTTATTCTTTGGTAGAAGTCCATATTGCTCAAAATGGATTGAAATTTTTCAAAGGAAGGAAGGAATGCTGGAAGTCATCTCCAAAAATTTTAATGGCGTTGTTACACAATCGGTCATGTTTTCCCTTTTTCAAAAACCCGTTAATTTATGGTGTCATACCATTTTGGTATATGAAATTTCGATAAGATGAATTGTATGCGTTCCCAGAGCACGGGGCCCTTTATTTATTTTATTTATTTTCCGTTTATGGGCATTGACAACAATTTCACAACTTTCAACTCTTTTTGTATTGTAGAACTTTCAATTAGGCTAAATATGGTCTTTCATAAGACCGAAAAATGTCCCTTCTAATTGTGTAAACACCATTAAAATTTGTGGAGATGACTTCGAGCATTCCTTCCTTCCTTTGGTTAATGGTTATATTCAGATGAGACTCAATAATTTGAAACTGGTGCAAAGCCGAGAAATTTCGATTTTTGGTTGTTATCTCTATTGTGTTTATATGCCCTTCCTGCTCTTTACTTCATCCCTAGTATGATAATCATAACTTCATTCGAGAAATAATGAAGTCATTTCAACAACTACTTTCCATCCGACCTAAAAGTAGATCAAAACGCTTAGCATAGGTCCATATTGGATAACTAAGATAAAATAGAGAAGAAGAATTGTAATAATTGACAAATGACAGATTGATAATAAAAAATCCAAAATGGCCACTGGAAGATAGCAAATCTGTCAGTGGATGTGGTTTTTGTGTTATTTGTGGTTTATTTTCTGATAATAATGGTGCTAGTGCATTAAATAATGGTTTTATACAGTGTCCTCTCAAAGAAGTAACAAGCCGTTCCGAAAATGGTATCCGAAGAATTCATAAAAGCGGAATATCCATTACATTGGTGTGTATGGCACAATGACTACCAGAACTTAAAATCTCTACTTAATTCTAAAGAGGTAATGTCATGGTGTGATTTAATCGGGATAAGCGAGACAAATACCTTCCTAAACATTCTAGCATGATAAAGAAAAACAAGATAATAGGGGGCGAACTCCCTTAATGTTGGCTGTCACATTGGGGCATTTGGAATCCACTAGAACTTTATTGAATTCTGAAGCCAACGTTAATTGTGAGAATATGAATGGATGGACAGGTGAGTAATAAGATTATAATATGTAAGTTGCAGTTAATCTAATTTACTTGTGTCCACTCAGGAGAGGTTACTAAAACTCACTAAAATTTGAGCTCAGTTTCCTGAGAGTAGCATTCAAGACATTTCCCTTAATGCTATACTAATTTGAATTTATAGGATAAATAGGTAGTGCACAAGGCAAAATGCAGATATTTGTAGACTACTCTTAACTTCTCCACTCTAATGGGACAATGAAATTCCTTGGTCTTTATATTGAGGAGCACCTTGACTGGAAAGCACAATGTGGACATATTATCTCCAAGCTTCACTCAATGAACTATTTATTCAGGAACTTGCGAAATATTTTAAGTAAAATACAGTTAATAAATCTTTACTATGCATACGTTGACTCTCAAATCAGATACGGCATATTATTGTGGGGTATGTCGACAAGGATTTCTGAAGTGTTCATAGCACAAAAAAAGATTATTCGTTGCATAGCACGAGTGTCGTACACTCACTCATGCAAACAATTGTTTCCAAACTTTGGAATATTGACAATGCCATGTGTTTACATATATGAAGCATGTTTGTATGTTTTTCGTAACAAAAAGGAATTTACTCTCAATGATGATGTGCATAATTATCATACTAGGCACAAGAAAGATATACATTTTCAATCAGTCCGGTTAAAGTTGAGCAATCAATCTCCAAATTACATGGGCCCTAGATTGTTCAATAATCTACCACCTCATATAAAAATTATTGACAGTTTATATGTATTCAAAAAATCATTGAAACAGTTTCTTATAGAAAAGTGTTACTACTCAGTCAGTGAATATCTTAATGAATGCTGGTAACCATACAATTTTGAGTGTTAATCGAAGTGTTTTTAACGATTTAAATTCTAGTACTGTAAGAACTTTTCAATATAATTTTATAAATGTTTTCTTAGAAACAAAGAATTTCTCATAGGGAAGTGTGATTACTATTAGTACCTGCATATCTCAGTGAATGTGAATGTGTAACTGTTGAATTTTAACTTTTAATTGTAGTGTTTGTAACCGTTGTAATTTTAGTTCTGTGACAACTTTCAATGCAATTGTATAATTGTCAAATTAGAAAGAATAAAGAATTTGAATTTGAATTTGAATTCATATAATTCTTTCAATGTACTCAAAATTGAAACAGTCTGCTTGTAAATAATTGTAAATATACCTATTCAATTATTCAAAAACATACACTGCTGACCACCTCATTGTGCCATATCTTGTAGAATAAAATAGAAAATATATTTTTTTAATCATCTTCCACTATCACTAAAATATATGAAAAATCAGGATAATTTCAAAAAAGGTCTCAAACATTTTTTGATTGTGAACTGTGTGTATAATATTCCCACTGATTTCATGTGCAGATTTACTTCTAGTTCACATGCTATCACTGTTTTTTATCTTTATATTACTAGGTATATTTTGCTTCTGGCATGTCTCATATCATTCTGTATAATCTAGAGAGATCAATAAATTTTATTGTCCATTATTATGATAGGTAAGTACCTATATGACTAATATGACTCATTATACTTATTGTGAAATTGTCAATCACCAATAGATACCTATAATATTGAAAATACCAAGGAAAATAACTATATTGAAACTCAATTCAAAGCATTTAAACCAAGATTCAAACTTTTCAGTAAGGCTCAACAAGAGTGGATTAGTCATTGATGCACAAGAAATTTGTTATTGAACTGCAGCAGCCTGTAGTGTTAATCACAGTAATAATTATGTTGTGTTCTTGAACATTTTATTCAGAAATTTATCAACAAGAAGTGAGACAAGAAGTATTTGCTCAAGACTTTTCAATAAATCAATAGTACAAACAATGTATTCATTTATCCAAAAGGATGTTTACAAGATTGAGTCAAAGATAATATTTCAAACACCATCATCTAAAAAAATCAACAGTGTTTGACTTAAAAAAATTTCAAAATTATTTAACAACATGCTACTTTCATTGGAAATAAACAATTGGTGTAAGTTGTGTAAGAATATTCTAGAAAATGCATTTTTTTATTCTGATGTGTGTTGGCAGCAAAGTATACTCCACAATATACAGGGTGTCTCTGAAAGGTATGTATAAAATCTTAGCTCATGGCCCTGAGGTCAAAATAAGTTGATTCAAAGAAACTTATCTTTGTCTGATATTGCTCGATTTTTGAGATACAGTGTGGTGAATTGAAAAAATAAGAAACAACAAGTACACTCCAAAAAAGTATTCTGAAAAAACCATTATTGCACTGCTCATTCACTGACCAAATTACTTCCATGAAGATAACAGCTTATAATTCAAATGTTCCCATTGTGGCAATCAACACTGAAAACCAAAATATCTTGAAATTGGCTCAATTTAGTGAATTTTCATGAGTGTACCTTTTGTGCTTGCAAATATTCAGCAGAACATTATTTCCCCAACAAAAAAAAAAAAAAACTACACTGAGAAAAAAGTTATAGTCATTCTAACCCATATGAAGTAAGTTGCTTTAAATCAGCATATTTTGATCTCAGGAATATTTTAATTTGATTGTCTCTATTACCCCAAGAAACATTATTGTTTATTATAGGGGTATATACAACAAAACATACATATAACATAATAAATGAAAACAATAATACTTGCACAATTATTGTTTAAAAAAAAAATTACAATAAAATATAAAATGAAAATATTATAATCCATTCCAAGTAATCAAATTGTGAATGATTAGTAGATATGGAATTAAAGTTTACTGAGCAGATATTTCTTTAAATTGATTTTAAATTTTTCTGCTCTCATAAGGATATAATTATAGTATATCCAATATCAATTGCAAAATATCCGGCACTGTGCGGCGTCGGCGTGTTTGAAGTTTTCTTTGAAGTGACTGCAGGTGCGGCACGAGATTCTGCAATTGTTTTTGGATAAACTATATCTCATTATGGAATATTGATTGTTTACAAAAGTTTGACTTATCAATAAATTGAATTGCCTTGTTTCATGGGCGTGAATCATATTAACTTCATTATAATTCAAATTTGATATTTTCAATTCCTTCCTGACAACATGAATAAAACAACAAATTTTTAGTTTAAATAATGAAATTAGATTCAGCAACTCTTTGGGTTTGTATAGATTTACAGTTGATTCAAAAAAAGGGTAAATTGAAAAGCACTTCATTGTTTTATTTTGTAATTTCATGAGTGGCTTCAAACATGACATATTTGTACTTCTACAAATAGATATTAAATAGTCTAAATTTGAATAAATGAGACAGAAATAAGTACTCTTTGGGTATCTAACAGGAATGAAATTTCGAATTTTATATATAATACCAGCAATAGGATTCAGTTTTTTTCCATAAATGATCTATATGAGATTTTTTACAGACCTTTCAGGGACATGATTTGAACCCTACAAAAATAGTATTTTTTTCTTGTCCATGTTGTAATATTTGAATGAAATTTCAGTTGTACAAGAGGCTGTGGCTACAGGTGATCCAGAACTATTGCAAATAGTTTTGGAAAGTAGGGATGTTCAAAGATACACTAGTCGTATGGCAGGTATTCCTGAACTGTTACAAAAATTAAAAGAAGCACCTGATTTTTATGTTGAAATGAAATGGGAATTCACCAGTTGGGGTAATATCCAAACTAAATAAATATGAATATATAGAAAACCATAGGTGGGCCGAATTTGAAAATTTGGGAGTTCACTATTGTTGATAAGTGCTATTTGGCTAGAATATTTTGAAGATTGTGGAACTTCCGGTTGCACCGGAAGTGGACCCCAACATCGTTATTTCAAATGGGACACCCTGTATATTATCAAGTTTTTAGATTTTACTCATGATTCCGATCATGTTTCATGTATAATGTCCTATACCCAAGTCTAACCATTTTCGAAATATTTCAAATTTTAAGTTAAAAAATTGCGTTTGCAAACCGAAAAATATTTTTTTTTTATTTCTGGACATGATCATTTATTTCGGATTGTGTATCGATTTATTCGTAGGAGAGGGCCCAGTTCAGTAGAATTTCGATATCAATTCGATTACAGTTATACAGGGCGTTCACCAGAAAATGATATAGATCCGGTTGAAAAAATTATTGCAAGTCAATTTTTTCAAATGGAAACCCCCCCAATTTTATATTCTCATTCGATTCGGCATCGAAAATGAAGCCAACTTTGAATAAGGTTATCTATGCCTACACTCAACAGTTTTCGAAATATTGGCGAATTATCAGTTCCAGATAATCTCGTATTCTTGAGTTTACTTATTCTTAGTTGGCCATGGCGCCCGCAGTTACATTGGAAACAATCAACTGCCACGGCAATGTCATTGTAATCAATCATGCCGGCTCGTTTGAATTACTCAATGAAGATTATTTGAATCTATTTTTAACTGAGACATGTTAATTCGACAATATTTCGAAAACTGTTGAGTGTAGGCATAGATAACCTTATTCAAAGTTAGCTTCATTTTCGATGCCGAATCGAATGACAATAAAATTGGGGGGTTTTCATTTGAAAAAATTTACTTACAATAATTTTTTCAACCGGATCTATATCATTTTCTGGTAAACGCCCTGTATAACTGTAATCGAATTGATATCGAAATTCTACTGAACTGGGTCCTCTCCTATGAATAAATCGATACACAATCGGAAATAAATGATCATGTCCAGAAATAAAAAATAGCTATTTGTGTATTTAGAGCGCAAAGTGATAGATTGCCGCTCGACAAAGAAAGTTACCGCGCGATGCGGAGCGGAGCGCGGTAATCTTTGGAGTGCGGCAATAACACTTTGTGCTCGAAATACACACAAGATTTTTTCTACTAACGCAGCTTTTGGAAATAACTGCCCTGAAAGTATGAGCGATTGAAATAGTTAGTTCTTATCCATATTATCCCATATGTCCAAAGGAAACAAAAAGAGAAAAATTGAAATAACTGACAAGCCAGAAAAAAAATGTCGGGCCTACCAAGAATTGAAACTGGACCACCAGCGTGGCAACCTGAGCTTCAGACCTCTGAGCCATAGTACGATAAGCTCTGCAATCAAATTGAACATTACTCATTGATGCAATAAAATAAAGATACACTGTCTTTCTGATGACAACAAAGAGTTTAAATATAAAGTATAATTCATCGTTTTCATCAACAGATATGCTTCATCGGGAGCTTCTTGTAGAAATTTGTTGGTATATATCTTCAGCAGTGAATGTTTTGGATTTTTCTCGCTTTATATCCAATAGATTGTTTCTTGAGAAATGCGATAAGTTTCAGATACTTATTGATTCCGATATTATCTTTAACATTCAAGCATGTATACGTACCATCGAATATATAGACGAGTTGATGACTTCAAAGTGTTTGATTTTTTACTAAAATAAGCCAGTAAATTCTGAATACATATTCACCATCTCGAAGTGGCACCAATTTATGAATATATCATATTGTAATTCATATTTCTTCCTTGATTTCTCCGGTAAGAGATTCAAACTCTTGCGCTTTCTGCTATATCAGGAGGTGTGATATTTTCCATCATGAGAGAATTGGGGGTTTTCAAGAATAGATAAGTATAGGTTACAGAGATGTGCGAGCGTTTTTTCAATATTTCCGCTCACGAGCGCAAATGCTGTCAAAGAATGACATTTCTGGGAAAACGTCAACTTTGTGCTGGAATTTGAAAGCGTCAAAGGCTACTTTGTTAAGCGTTTGTAGAAAATAGTACATTATATACCGCGGGACTGAAGTGGTACATTTAATCCTGAAGGTAAAGTTTATGGCCCGACCGCAGGGAGGGCCATAATTTACCTGAAGGATTAAATGTACTTCAGTCGCAAGGTATATACGATACTTTTCGTACTTCCGGTATGATTTTATTAATTATTTCAATAATTTCAATCAGTTTTTTCTCTCTTCAACTCATTTAATAAACTGTCTTTAAAATAAGTTACCATAGTAACATTGCGTTGTGACAGTTATAATTTAGAAACATTGTCATTACTAGTGTCATTGTAAAGAAACATTGTTATTGATAATTATTGGTATCATGAGTGAAGAAGGTGTATCTGATATTGATAAAAGAGCAGCCGAAGTAGGTGAAGAATTGTTACCACCGAAATCTAGAAAACTATACGAGCAGCAGTACGATGCTTTTAAAAAGTGGTGCCGCTTAAAAAATGTGAGACAACCTACTGAAAATGCGCTGTTAGTCTACTTCGATGATAAATCAAAAGCGGTTTGTGCCTCAACTCTCTGGGCACATTACTCAATGCTGAAATCGGTTATTAACATTAGAGAAGATATTGATATAAGTAAATTTCCAAAATTATTAGCTTTTTTGAAGAGAAGAAATGAGGGATTTAAGCCAAAGAAGTCAAGAATTCTCACGTCTGAGCAGGTAGATCAGTTCTTACTGGAGGCTCCGGATGATAAATATTTAATGCTTAAGGTAAATTTGGAAATTTGTTTATATTCAGAAATTTTAAGAAATCAATTTTTTTGTAGGTTGCACTTATTTTGGGCGTTGCGGGAGCTTGTCGTGGAAAAGAGTTGGTTGATTTAGAAATCGACGATGTGAGAGATTTGGGCGATTCCTTCCTAATTGCGATTAGAAACACCAAAAATAAAATTGAACGAAATTTTGTGATCAAAAATTCAGAAAACAGTGCCATCAGTTTTGTGGCGATATTTCGGAAATATGTGGCATTGCGAAAGACAGGGACAACTCATTCAAAATTTTTTGTTCAATACATCAACAAAGAATGCACTACGCGAGTAGTAGGAAAAAACATGTTTGGTACATTTCCACGGCAAATAGCAGCTTTCTTGAAATTAGAAAATGCGACGTCTTATACGGGACATTGTTTTAGACGCACATCTGCGTCTTTGTTAGCTGATTCGGGAGCAACAATAGACGTGCTGAAGAGACATGGAGGATGGAAATCCTCCAACGTGGCCGAGGGATATATTGAATCGTCTATTAAAAATAAACAAAAAATTTCAGATAAAATATTTGGTCAAGTCGCCGATTCGTCCACTATAGTTATGCCACAGTCCTCATTCTCGCTTCCTGTTTCCGCAGGATCTTCGAAACAAACACCAGTTCAATATGAAAAGGACCCATCTGTTACTCGTCAGTTACCTGCTGCATTAACCCAGGAAAGACTGGTCAATATGACGAACTGTCACAATATTAATTTGAATATTAACGTTAATTACCATTCTAATTAATTATATTTTTCAATAAAATATCCCTTAAATTCGTTTGTTTGTGATTTAATCGTTCCGGGAGTTTCGTCAATATTTAATCCCGGAGGGATTAAATGTGACACTTTAGTACCTGTCACAAGGGAGTGAAGTTGTCACTTTAGGCCCGGAAGTACGAAAAAATATTTTTCGGTCTACAAACGCAATTTTCAACTTAAAATTTGAAATATTTCGAAAACGGTTAGACTTGATTATAGCACATTATATATGAAACATGTTCAGAATCATGCGTATAATCTACAATCCGGATAATATACAGGGTGTCCCATTTAAAATAACGAAGTTGGGGTCCACTTCCGGTACAACCGGAAGTTCCTCAATCTTCAAAATATTCTAGCCGGATAGCACTCATCAACAATAGTGAACTCCCAAATTTTCAAATTCGGCCCACCTATGGTTTTCTATATATTGATCGATGTAGTTCCCGGAGGGACACCCTGTTTAATTTTGCTATACTTTTTTTAGTGCCTTTGGTGTCACGAATGTGTCCAAGTGATACTTACAAAGTATATAAACAAGGGTCCAGTGTGCGAATAGATACAACATTATTGGGATTCGATCACACTAGTTGGCAGAGAGGAAACAGAAGTTACATATTTCAAGGCCAAAGTAAGTGGGAAGCTTCATTATAAATTCTTGAATTCTGGAAAAGACTCATTATCTAGGATTTACTCTAATCTAAATAAAAGAAATACATGGAATTTCTGAAACTTGAATCCAACAATTTTCAAATGCAGAGAATTACTATAAAATTCATTTTCACAAACTCCAGTATTCACTTCTAACTAAATTATTTTATTTATGTAAAGCCATACAGATCAGTGCACCAATAAGAGGAGATAAGAGTTATGTGTATACATTGAAAACCTTCAAGAAACCCGGTAAATTTAACTGAACCTATTATGTAAGCTGGAGCCTTTTAGTCCAGGGTGACTGCTAGAAAAAATCCCATTACCCAAATTGGAAATGAATAGTAAAAATTATTCAAGCATGGCTATAATCTGTTGCTGTTGTTTGAAAGCATTTGATTCATCATTACTAATTTATTTTTCCAATTTGTTCCAATATCACACAACAAATGTTGTTGCAAATATATGTTTGAATAATTATTACCTACTGGTATTTGCTCGGGTATTTGTATCACTTGAGACCACAGTTTAAGTATTTATTTTTATGCACTATGGTCATCCCATTGCCTTTAGAGATCAAACAATAATTTTTGTCCATATTCCTTCCATTTGTTGATGATAATAAAAAATTGTATGGTCAATTTATCCAAACAAATAATCATGTTAATGTAGGCTAGTATATTTTGAGCTGCTTGTCTGAGTATTTAATGTAAAGTAGAAGAATTTATTGATCGATTTTTTTATGAAATGTAGCTGAATTCTTCACAGTTAGCTACATATTTCTTGGTTTATTCAACAGAAAACAACTACTTTCCTGGCTATATGCCACGACGAACATTGAATTACATCTATTGAACACACGATAAGAATTTGAAAACGAAATCTTCTGAAGTGGGGAATTTGCATTCTCTCTCATATAAAGATATGCACATAATATCATTCTGTATATTCAACAGAAAACAACTACTTTCCTTCAGAAGAATTTGGTTTCAAATTCGTATCGTGTGTGTTCAATAAATGTAATTCAATGTTCGTCGTGGCATATAGCCAGGAAAGTAGTTGTTTTCTGTTGAATAAACCGAGAAAGAATTAATATTTTCATCACATGGAGAATGCGAATTCTCAATGTATTTCTTTATATACAGAGAAGTGCACAAAAACGGCCAGGACTGTAACTTTTGAATTATTCGAGAAAGGTTTTTGAAAATTGATGGGCAGCTAGTATAACAAATTGCTCATTAATTGACGAAACAATTTTTGTTCTATCACTTCCGGTTTAACTAGAAACGACCCCAACTTTTGATTTTTAAATGGGACACCCTGTATTGTATTAAATAATCGGTTAGGGATTGTAATAACGAATTCATTGATATCGGGTTTGATAGGGTTATTTCAAACGATTACGCAGATATTCGCGTTCTAAGTTCCCATATGCTCAATGAGTGTGACAGAGAGAGAAGTTTTGATATTGCAAAGTCACACCCATTGAGCATATGGAAACTTCGAACGCAAATATCTTTGTAATCGTTTGAAATAACCCTATCAAACCCGGTATCGTTGAATTCGTCATGATAATCCCTAACCGATTATGGAATACAATACAGGGTGTCCCATTTGAAAATCAAAAGTTGGGGTCGTTTCCGGTGAAACTGGAAGTGATAGAAGAAAAATTGTTTCATCAATTGATGATCAATTTGGTCTACATGCTAACCACCAATTTTCAAAAACTAATCTAGAATAATTCAAAAGTTACAATCCTGGCCGTTTTTTGTGCACTTCTGTGTATACAGTGTGACTCATTTTTAATGGAAACACCCCTGTATTTTACGTAATCGTTGGGTAAGGATACTGAATTTCGCTGAAGCGAGAGATATATAAAAAATGCACTCTATGACAAAGTGGAGTCATCTTCAGTGATTTACAAAGCCATGGAACCACCCCAATTTCCGGAAAATGATATTAGGAGGCAAAATAGGTTGAAAATCAATTCGGATTTGGAATCAGTACGCCCAATTCATCAACTATTCATATTTTTTTAAGAATTTTCATTTCTAAAAAATGCATTTTTGTCTCACTTGTCATGGAAAACCCCTGTATCTTACATAATCGTTGGGTTAGAGCCCTGAAATCTGCTGGAGCGACAGATATACCCAAAATATACTGTGTGACCAAGTCTGGTCATCTTTAGTGATATACACTACTTTTCCAAAGCCTTGGAACTACACACATGTCCAGAAAATAATATCAAGAGGCAAGATGGGTTGAAAATCACTTCGAATTCGATGCAGGACGTCCAATTCACCAACCTCCCATATTTTGACGCATTATTATTGGTAACGATTTTCCTCATACTTTTAACGAACGTATTCATTTAAAATTCATTTCAATTACACCCGTCATGATTTCTGATCCATTGGTTGGATCACTCCGGATGATCTATTCAATTGTACTATTTCCGATTCATATTTCATTATCCCTGGTGAGAACTGACTTCATGATTATCAATTTCAGAACAACCATTGAGTTCATTTTTTGATTCAATACAGTTTTCCTCCTGGAATGTCAGTGGTTCTGTGGCTGCTGGCGAGAATTATGTATCATTGAAGATGATCCTACTTGGTCATTGGTCTCTTTCTTGCTCCTAAAAATTTCAGACTTCTACATCAATAATGACGTAATATACTGGGGTGCTTTCATGAAAAGAGAGAGACAAAATTTATTATATCAGAACTGAAAGTGTTTCTGAAGAAATATGAGCACTTAGTGAATAAGACGTTCTGTTTTCTGTTCCTGAATCCGCAGTGATTTCCAACCTATCTTGTCTGCTAATATGATTTACCGGACATGTAGGTAGTTCCATGGATGCTAGCGAGCAATGTATATCACTAATGGTGATATTTTCAATTGGTCATTGACTATCTTCCTAATATTCCTTGCTCCTGGGAATTTAACAATTCTAACTCGATAATTACGTAAAATACGGGTGTTTCCATGAGCAGTGAGACAAAAATGAAATTTTCAGAACTGAAGTTTTTAGGACAAATATGAATAGTGAGTCAATTGGGCGTCCTGATTCCGAATCCGAAGTGATATTCAACCTATTTTGCTTCCTAATATTATTTTTTGGAAATTGGGGTCGTTCCATGGCTGTTGGCTAGCAGTGTATATCACTGAAGATGTCACTACTAGGTCATAGAGTACATTTTTGGTATATCTCTCGCTACAGCAAATTTCAGTATCCTTACCCAACGATTACGTAAGATACAGGGGTGTTTCCATCAGAAGGGAGGCACACATTAAGAAAACTAAAAGTCCATGACTGTTGTACTTTCTCAACAGTCGGGGATAATGGAATTGTTATTACTTTTATCTTCGAAAAATATCGCTCATCTCACAGTTAAATCTATCAGTTTATAATCTCTGGTAAAAGTCCATGTTTGCTGAAAGTGGAGTGGAATTTTCAAAAGGAGGAAGGAAAGCTCAAAGTCATCTCCACAACTTTAATAATGATGTAGTCAATCAAAGGCATTTATAAAAGTCCATATTCAGCCGTATTTTAGAAGTTACTACGAGCAAAGGCATGTGAAAATATACATATTGTTATATACACCAAAAATTTACTTACATGGAGGTGAACATTATATGTTTTTAAATTGATGCCGATGTTTGTCATCATGATATCGTGATTGATAATAATAGTTATTTTTTCTGTGACGGGAAAAAAGTTTGGCATTTCATCTCTGTTGGCAGGTTATAAAATGTCACTTTTCATAAATTACTTTTTTCCCGTGGGAAAAAAGTGAGTACTTCTTTCCCGGATATATATCACATATATATACTCTGTTAATGGCTTTTGTTGTGCTATAGTTCCGAAAAATAAGTCAATAATACCGTCTCCGAGAAAGAACTGCAAGTCCTTTTATCTTCCATTCGACTTCGCGGTTTCGTATATTACTAAACAACTACTGAATTCGCAATTTTTTAAAATCAAATCACAGAATTGAACTGACAGAAGTGACATCAGATATTTGATTACTTCAAAAGAATGATAAAGATGTCTATAAAACGCAGGTGTCCCTACTGTTAAAAACTTGAAATTTCACGTCGATAAATTTCAGATTTCGAAATAATGTAATATCTTCCCAACATTGATTCGTCCTTCCTTCTGTCACAGAAAAAAATAGTGTATTATACACGGGAAAAATATTAGATTTTAGCTCACGGTTTTTTGTCTCCCTCCGCTACGCGTCGGGAGACAACACAACCTGGAGCTAAAATCTACTACTTTTTTTCCCTTGTATAATAAATAACTATTATTTATTTAGTAGATTTTAGCTATAATCTAATATTTTTCCCGTGTATAATACACTATTTTTTTCTGTGACAGAAAAAAGGATGAATCAATATCGAGAAGATATTACATTCTTTTGAAATCTGAAAATCATCGACGTGAAATTTCAAGGTTTTAACAGTAGGGACACCTGTGTTGTAGGCATCTTTATCATTCTTTTGAAGTAATAAAATATCTGATGTCACTTCTGTCAGTCTAATTCTGTGATTTGATTTCAAAAAATTGCGAATTTAGTGGTTGTTTAGTAATATACGTAAGCGCGAAGTCGAATTGAAGATAAAAGGACTTGCAGTTCTTTCTCGGAGACGGTATTATTGACTCATTTTTCGGAACTATAGCAAAACAAAAGCTATCAACAGTATATACAGGGTGTTTCAAAAAAAAACTAACTCCATTGCTAGGGTAGGTAGAACATTGCAAAATAAGTTGGGTTTGCTCAGTAAAAAAATGTCGTAACGCCATCCGTTTTCAAGATACAAGGTGTAGAAAAAATGATGTTTTTACACATTTTTGAAGATTATTTCGAAACAACTAGCAACATTGGGATGAAATTTCGTATGGATGTTTCTTGGAATCTGACCCATTGCATGCATTCGTTTTTATACCTGACTGTCATAGAGAGCGCTGGTTACACTGTTCGTACCGAGTAGTTTTCAACATAACTTTTTTGAGGCTAGATTTTCCAATCCAGATTTTATGTGAACTTGAACATAATTCAATTTCACACCAAAAAGGTACACTTGGTAAAACTCGATACTGTGTTCTGTTTTCGACATATTTCGATTTGAAAATGATGGAGTGATAACTGTTGCTGGTATAAAGCTACGTATTAGAGTGAGTATTATGAAAAATTATCACCTATTTATTGAAAACCGAAAACAACAATACATTTCTGATGCTAAAATTATTGATTCAACAATGAATCACAAGCATTACATTAAAACAGATTTGACTAAGAACATGGATTACACAGTTTTGTTTCATCTTGAGCAGAAAGTCTATGCTACATAGGTAAATTCACGTCAAGAGTTGTAAGACATAACTGAACATCACCTAAATGACCTAACAGCTGATCCTCAACTGTTTAGAAGAATAATACATTCGTAATAAAAGAATATAGAATCGTGAATTCATCGAAACTTACTCTAACTGATTCAATATTTCATGTTTCTAGTCAAAGTCTACCTATGATTCTATGTTCCATCAATAACTTCAGCACAAGAATGATTTTATTGTTTTTAAATCTGAATAAATAGGTAATTGAACTTGATAAAATTCATTTCATACCAACATCATTACTACTCCATTATTTTCGAATCGAAATATTCCAAAAACGGAACATAGTATCGAGTTTCACCAAGAGTACCTTTTTGGTGTAAAATTGAATGATGTTCAAGTTCATATCATATTTGGATTGAAAAATCTAACCTCAAAAAAGTTATGCTCTAAACTACTCGGTACGAACCGTGTAACTAGCGCCCTCTATGAGAGTCAGATATAAAAACAAATTCATGTGATCTGTCAGATTTCAAAAAACATTCATACAAAATGTTATTACAATGTTGCCAGTAAATTCGACATAATCGTGAAAAAAGTGTAAAAAGTCATTTTTTCAACACCTTGTATCATGAAAACGGATGCCGTTACGACATTTTTTCACTGAGCAAACCCAACTTATTTTGCAGTGTTCTACCTACCCCAGCAAGAAGGTCAGGTTTTTTTGAAACACCCTGTATATATGTGATATATATCCGGGAAAAAAGTACTCACTTTTTTCCCACGGGAAAAAAGTTATTTATGAAAAGGTTCATTTTATAACCTGCCAACAGAGATGAAATGCCAAACTTCTTTCCCGTTCATTAAAAATGAAGGGTCCCGTGTCCTAAGAACGCGCACTTTTGAAATCAATATCAGTTTATTGTGTGAAAGTTGCCTGCAATTATACAGGGTTGACGTTGTTAACATGAGGTATCAAACGTAGATGATGGTGCCACCATGATGGAGATCGACCACGACCTACAGCAAGTGTATTGCGAACAGATGCGGACCACGGAAGAGTCGTTGGGAGTGCTGATACCGAACGAAGAATCGGTGTCTCAGAGGCTAACCACACCTATCGTTACGACGTACATAGACACCGAGAAAATTAGCTTTGAAAGGTTAGAGTCATTGGAAAACTGACGTTGAACATCATGTTACTTATTTTCAGATGATACAACAATAATCTATACTTCAAAAGATTTTAACGATATCAATAATTATTGAATAGTTTATCGACTGTATTATATTATGATATTATGGGAAATATCGGGGAGTTCAGTCAATCGGGCTACAAGCAAATTACTTTATTGCTATGCCATGCTTTCGAAAATTTGTATTTCTTTCTTCAAGACTGAAACAATATATGGTATATATATTATATGACTTTTGTCACTGTCCTATCAATTTTATATCTACATCATCTATATTTTTTATACTCATTATTATTCCAATTTATACCTTTTAATTCACATTGCAAGTAAGTTTTTGTTTTTGTTGAATTGAATTGTAACAAAATATCTCATATACCATATGTTGTTTCAGCCTTAAGTTAATAGGATTCACGCCCATGAAACAAGGCAATTTAATTTATTGATAGCAATTAATTCTAAGTCAAATTTTGGTAAACAATCTATTCCATAATGGAATAATTTTATATAACTCCTCACCTAATGAGTTGAAAAATATAGAAGAAGCAGAAAAAATTAAAATCAATATAGGCAATTTCACTATGATTGAAAATAGCCCTTTTTATATGGCGAACGGTCTCATACATGACTCAGTATATGAAATAGCACTTCCTCTAACCTATTGATTCCTTTACAACCGTTTAATTAATACTTCAAAAGTGCTATAAATCGAGAAAATTCCAAACGACCATTTTTCGTGGTGTGACGTCACTTGTATTTTCTTGAGGCTCCCTCTGACGACCCAAAGAGGATGCGTTGCACAAAACCACAGACACAGAACTCGAGCACAAAGTGGTTGGGTGATCTGTGACTTGGGAGAAAAATGGCTACAAAAACAAACTATAGAAGAAGAAAACGATTAACCTCGAAGTCTAGTTCATAGAGTGTCGAACAGTCTAGATATTTAGCCGTCATTGACAGTGATATTCTTTCGTTCTGAACGTACTGACACATTTCACTTGAACTGAACTGAATCAGTTAATATGCGTTCTTTCAAATGACGTTCATTGTATGTCAACTGATTCAGTTCAGTTCAAGTGGAATGTGTCAGTACGTTCAGAACGAAAGAATAGAGAGTTGAAGTAATCACTGTACGTAGACCTCCACGTAAACGTTAAAGTACGAAAAATAACGTTTACGTATTGTCTTCAAATTGAGTTGAAGTCCTCACTGTCATCGTAACGTTATAACAAATTATGTTATCGGTTTGTATTGGTCAGTTTTGGTTGGTTGTTTGGTTCAAAACATTTACTCGTGTTAAAATGGAAGGTTGCCCTGATGCAGAACTCCTTAAGGATCCCGAATTTGATGATTTTGACTCATCGGCATATTTCGAGTTTGGTTCGGTTAACGTACGTTACGTAAGCCCACTACCAACGCGAACGTGAAGAATTGAAAAATGCGCATGCGTAGCTGTCAATTTCTACGTTAACGTTCGTGGCAACACTTCAACTCTCTAATATCACTATTAATGACGGCCAAATATCTAGACTGTTCGACACTCCAGATCTCTAGATATTTAGCCGTCATTGTCACAATAGGTCGCGTGCTCGATGACCATATACGTATCAATAATCAATACGGATAATCTCTATCTGTTTCCATAGCGAAACATGAAGCCGATTTTTGAAGACAAATGACTATCCATAAGGAAAAGTTTTGAAACGATCAGACACATACTGCTTTGATTAAAAGGCTAGTAAACGTCATTGTCCACCGAAACGCATGTCTTTGATGACTACTATAATAGCACATGGCGCATGCGTATCATGCCACCAAATCCTTATGGATATTCATTTGTTTCATATTTTTGGCTTCATCCTGGCACCCGTTATGATCCGTATTGTTTATTAATACGTTTATCTGATGGCATGTCATAATGACAACGTTATGTCACTCAATTTTGATGACATAAGGAAGCTCATTATGGGACTAAGTACCATAATGAAATTCTATAAGGAAAACATGTAATGGTTTGATCAAAAAAGTTTATTCAAAATGCATAACTATGTACAAAACTATTTATTATAAATGGTAAAAGAACAATTACTACAATTTGTAATATTAATATAATGGCAAAGCACAGCTCACTCACCTACTAATATTTGAAACTACACAATACTTACTCCTTGAAAAATAGTTGGCATTGTGACATGTCGAAAATGCAGTTTTTAATTTTTCGAAAATGTATTGATATAAATGCCATCAGATAAAATTTTGTATGTAATACGAATCATAAACAATCATTATGGCACACGCCGTGTTATCGGACTCGGCTACGCCTCGCCCGATAACATTCACGACTTGTACCATAATGATCGTCTTTATGATCCTTATTACATAAATAACTAATATGATGTCAACTGATTCAGTTCAAGTGAAATGTGTCTACGTTCAGAACGAAAGAATATCACTATTAATGACGGCTAAATATCTAGACTGTTCGACACTCTAGATCTCTAGATATTTAGCCGTCATTGTCACTATTATAGTTTTTATTGAGTGACAAATGCAATGACAAATGGTGACAAGACCAAGTGTATGATGCGGTGTGACGCACGTTGTATGTAGGTTCAATTTAATGATTTTTTCTGGGTCAACCGCAATCGTAAGGAAATTGAAAAAATGCTGAATTCACCCAGTATGTGTTCTAAATCGTGAAAAAAAATTCCCTTTTGTAAATAATGTCCTCCATTGATCGATTCGAAAAAGTCGAAGTGTCCCTTGATTTTCCCCGCAGGAATAAAGCCGGCATGTGGGGCTGGCGATCGGACAAGACTGAAGTGATAAACGGGTACGAGTGCAAAGTGTTCAGCGCGACGAACGTGGAACTGGTGACGAAAACGAGAAGCGAACACCTCACGGAAACGGACAAGGCGCGCAGCAAAAACAACAAGCACCCTTTGCAGAACTTCCTCGGTATAGCCGAGGTGGGGGAGAGTCAGGCGGCCGCCTTACTACCGAACAATGTGAGTCGATCGCACCTTTATTCTCGTTGTTCTCCAGAATTTTGTTCGTTTGATCATTTTGCATAGGTTTTTTTTTCGAAAAATGTTTTTTGTACTTACGTATTTTTGTCTGAAAAACACGAATTTGATAATGATAATGTGAACAAATCATTATTTATTGAGATATTTCACGATAAAGTTACACATTCCACTTTCTTTTCCGCCTGCCATCTGGATCGCATTTAGAACAATTTGCCCTTATTTTCTCATCATTGGACAATTTATATTCAGGGTGTGTTCTCCTTTTATATTAGTCAAACCGTCAGATATACAGGGTGGCATCAAAATAAATACATTAAATTCAAACCCTAAGTTGCCTCAAGGTATACTATCGAATCGCACCATTAAAAAAAAGGGGGTCAAATTAAGATTTGGGGTAAGACCCCCTTTTCTGTCCAAAATTCGAATACAACAGTAATATGGTTTCTTGGGAACTATCACCTTAAATTATTTTCATATCTATAGGGGGGTTCGAATTTCAAGATATTGGTTGATGATGAGTGGTTTCAAATGAGACACCCTGTATATTATTATATTTTTAGATTTTCCCTTAAGAGCTGATTCCATCAATGTATCACATTTCGGGACTAGCTGATATGTTTATAGAGATATAGGGTGTTCAAAATCTATATTTTCTTGTGTTGAAACCATTTTTTATTGGTCGAAACGGCTTACATGTCCCTATCTCAACTTTTGATTCACCATCCACTGACACTCAATTGGAACAAATACAGGGTGGTTCGAAATTCAAGATCACCCTGTATCTATTCCAATTGAATTTCAGTAGATAGTAAATCAAACGTTGAGATAGAAATATGTTAGCCGTTTCGACCAATAATGAATAGTTCTGACACAAAAAAATTCCAAATTTGAAAATTTTCGATTCTGAACACCCTATATCTCTGTAATCATTTCCGCTAGACCCCAAGTGTGATGCATTGATGAAATCAGCTCTTTTGGAAAAATTTCAAAATGCAATAATGTACACGGTGTCCCATTTAAAAACACCCATCATCAGCTGATATCTTGGAATTCCAACATCCTATAGATATGAAAATCATTTTAGGTGATAGCTCTCATGAAATTCTATAACTGTTGTATTCGAATTTTATTTATATACCTGATGGTTTGGCTAATATTGAAGGAGTACACACTATTGACTCACGATGTATATCACAATGTACGACACATTTTTTTCTATTGTATGAGTTTCAGTAAAAAGAAGGAAGAATATCATTTAACACAATGGCGTGTGTAATGTCATTCAAAAGCAATCTGTTGACATTTGACATCTCGTAATTGGATTGACTATTGATTAAATGGCCGTCATCTGGTATGCTTGTTCACTGAATATGAAAAACTCACCATAAAAATCATATTTCCTGTTGAATTTTCTATATAAAAATGTGTCATTGAAGTTCATCATGAGTATATAAAGTGTTCAATGAGAAAATAAGAAGAGCAAGTAGCTGTAAATGCATCCAACACAAGGGGAAAAAAGACGAAATTTCGAACTTTCTTTTGGAATATCTCGATAAATAGAGGTTTGTTCACATTTTCATTATTAAATTCGTGATTTTCAAACAAAAATACGTAAATACAAAAAAAATGTTCGAAAAAACCCATCGCATGATAAAAATGCAGTTTTACCTTGTTTTTTTTTTCAAGAATGAAGAATGCATATAGTCCCAACAAGTGGGCCCTCCAAAGTTGGGGGCCCCAACACATTGCACTTACTTGTCTCATTCTAGTTACGCCACTGACGACAGTGTATGTTCCAGGAAGAATACTCGAACTCGAGCAACCCGTGCAACATAACGCCCGACGAATACTTCGATTGCTCGGTGGACCTATCGGCTCTAGGCAGAGACATAGGCCGGCCCAAGGAGGTCAACGTCAAGGTAACTAGAATCTGAGGAACTCAATAAGATGATTCGACACACAGTCATAATTCATCTTAGGAAAAATCCGCATCTGTTTGGTCCTTCGAGCCGGATCAAACATGTGCGGATAATAAGTGGACTGTAGTAGTAAGAATTTGTCGAGACTATGCAGATAAGGATTGCGGAAAGAATGCTGTCGACTACCTGCTAATCTTCTCAAGGGTTGTTAATGTTTTGAGAAAGGATATATTATAATCTTACATAAAACTGAAATATGACCTAAATCACATAACATCGCAATTTTTTGTGCCATGTATTGCATTGTACTTATAGGTGTGCGCAATAAATATTTTTTCTTATCTATTCAAAGGTCCAGAAGTTCAAGGCCAACCTGTGGTTGTGCGAGAACTACCCGCTCTCGCTGCCCGAGCAGATCCTGCCGATAGTGGACCTGATGGCCATCTCCAGCACGCATTTCGCCAAGTTGAAGGACTTCATTCAGATGCAGCTTCCGGCTGGTTTTCCAGTCAAAATAGGTACGGTTTTCACTAGGGAATCTACTTTTTTCGTTTATTGGAAACCTGCTACCTCCTATTTACGTACAGAGTTATTTTTTGAACGCCTGCTCGACAGTCCGTGTGCAGCACGCCTTCCGTTTAAGGTTCAATATCGCTCTCCGCGGCCGAATTCCCGATCGAAATTGAGTCAATCGAGGTTAATGCATTGAATTGTGAATCCTTCGTCTGAATTGCTCGAGATTGAATGTGATAGAACTGAACTTCCGTATCATTAATCAAGTTTTCGTGTTTTATAAGAAAGAATAGGGTTAGATAAAAAATTACAAGATGCTGAATATTATTGAGAAGTGTTGAATATATACCATTGTCTTTTACTTCATACTCTCCACTAAAGGACTAAACTTGACCACTGAACAATGTAATTGAGAAAAATCTTGGTTCACTTCAATTGACCACGAAGCTTTAGGTGGGGGAAATGACCGTAAATCGAAAGAATGCATGTTAACTGATTCAGTTCAGTTCTAAAAAAAATTTCCTAAAATTGTTTTGATTCCTTATCCGGTTACTCCCTTACGAGCAACCCTCAGAAGTCTTCAAATGACTTGTGCGAGCAAGGAATGACGGGAGCCTCACCTTTTAACGTGTGATCCCAAACAGTTTCTTAGGCCATCGGAAAAATGTCTGAGTCGTTGGATTCGAACCCACGCTGCCACCTAGTAAGATTTTTCACTAACAATTATTGTTAGCGGAGGTGGAAAAATTAATATCCTAGCAACACTATTTTACTCTTTGCTTGTTACTGTGTCCTTGCAATGACATCTTGTGCATCAGAAAGAAACAATATTTGGTATACATCTATAAATTTGCTTTATTTTCAGAAATTCCACTGTTTCATGTCCTAAACGCGAGAATAACTTTTGGCAATATATTCGCAATGGATGCCAAAGTACCATATGTCACCAAAGTTGAAGAAGAAGATAGGGTCACCTGTGTCTTGGATGAAGGTTTATTCAGGTGTCCCTCAGGGTATTCCCAGATTGGTAATAATGGTATTGTAGTCAAGCTTTTTATTTTTTATTCAATTAATTTGTATGTTAGTTGCTATGAACATTTTTTTTTTTGATGAATTGCATGCTAATAAACCGATTTTCTTCATTAATGTTCCGAGTGATTGTTTATATCGTACTCAATAGCTATCTCAGTTAATATTGGTCTTACAGAAACGTTCAAATTGGTAAAAAATAAGTTTTTTTATGCGCATTTAGAATCTAGTACAGGAAAATGCAAAAAAAGCATTGTGAACCTACAAAATTTTACATATACTGGTATTTTTTAAATGGAACAGCCTATTTAATACCCTAATCGGTAGAGCTCTTTCTTCTGATGGGTTGCAGGCAAAATCTGTCAGATGACCGACCCTGGAGGTAAAACATTGATACACAACGTCACTTTTCTTATTTGTTTACAAGTGATCGAAATAGTTTTCCACAATTATTTTGGCATATGAATCGTATTTTTCCGCTATTCATCAATTCGCTCATGCCATCACAATGTGCTGTTGTAAAATGCACAAAAACTGCAGCGGAAGATGAAGGAATCCGGATGGTATAATACATTATGATTTAAAAGTAAGTACCTACTATAGTCACTCACATATAGTTTTCATTTTTGAAATTTGGTTATTTCTCTGATTTCTCATCGGAATTCCTTCTGCAATAAGAGCTAATAGAAATATACCTGAAATTTCTAGAATAATGCAAGAAGATTGGATTCATGCAATCAATCCGGAGGACTGGTCTGACATGCTGACGATTGTGTGTGTTGTAGGCAGAAGGCAGAAGGAATTCTAATAGGGAATGACAACATTTCATAATGATAACTGTGAGATTACTATTTACCTGAAAAATCATATTCTTTAGTCTCTTGCTGCATTTTTTGTGCATTGTACAGCAGCACAATGCCAAGGCATGCTCGAATTAATGAATAGCGCAAAAAAAACGATTCGTATGCCAAAATATTGTGAAAAACTTTGATTCCTCTGTAACCAAATGAAAAAGTGAGGTTGTGTTTCAATAATTCACAGAAGAATGAGGTTGTGTTTCAATGTTTTGCCTCCAGGGTCGGTCATTGTGCACGCGACCTATACATTTTTGAAATCAGAAGAGTTCGACCGTTCAGAAAAATAAAATGGTGTGTTCCATTTAAAACATATCAGTACATTGTTAGGTTTACGATGCTTTTTTGCATTTTCTAGTATTAGATTCTAAATGCCCCTAAAAAATACAGCATTTTGACCCATTCCAACGTTTCTGTGAGACTAATATTAGCTGAGATAGCTATTGAGTAAAATAGAAACAATCACCTTGTACATGTTATGTTTTGTACCACAGGTGTTGATGGTCGGCGACAATTTGGTATGGAAGAAGAGGATGATCTGCTTCAGTTTGCTATACAACAAAGTCTTATAGATGCTGGTACAGAAAAAGAAGAGGTCAGTTACAATTTAGAGCATGAGCAAATATTAAAAATTATCAGATGATAAATGTCTTCTTCATTTCATCGTTTATAATTTGTTTTCAGGTTGATATATGGGAAGCTCTAAAAGCTCAGAAACCGTCCAGGCCCACTACACCGAATTTACTTGGAGAAGAAGAACGGCAGTTACAAAGGTATATATGTAAATGTTTTCTACACTCGCCGACAAAAAAAACCGGCCTGCAAAAAATTTTGCCAAATTGATCGCCCTGTAAATTATTTAATTCTTGACGTCAATACTGTCTCGCTCCTGCTCCTGCCATTGTCTGCTAAATATGGAGAAAAAATCTAGTGATCTGTAACTACTGGTCTGTTCTATAGCTCAGTTGAGTGTATGACCACCAGAGGATGTTACCGTATCGGACGAAATGATCTTCACTATTTTCTAGAGATTTTTCGAAATTTGTGGTTATGTAAGTTGTCAGTGTCAAGAGCTGTCATGCCATCGTGACTTTTATTGTATTTTTCTTTGAACCAATCTTTCTTTTCCAATTCTTATTGTTCTAATATTCCTTTCATTTATAGATATAGTTTTGTATTATTGTTTATTCTGATTGATAATTTGTTACAAACTCTGTCTTTCAATTTTGCCTACCAGAAAGTGTGAAACCGTCTCCATTCATAGATTTCCGAGTAATATTCTTTTGTGACATAAGTGAATACATTCGATATTGAGTGTTACAGGCTCATTACAAGTAAGATAATCAGAGCCCTGATCAATAGCTAATAATCGATACTACTCATTCTACCTCCCATTTAATTTAGATTGAACGTTATGAAATTGGGGACTATTGTACTGAATTCAAACTCACTGAACAACAAACTACGCGGCAGGCCGAGAGCACCGCTGAGAGAGCTGCTCAACTTGTTTACGATTTTCAAGGTTATGTAGGTTTGACAGGAAAACAATTGAAATAAGTGTTTCCTCGAGTTGACCGTATGGCGGCACTACTGTATCGGCCACAGAAACCTGTAGGTGATTTCCCTTGTTTGAGCAGACCAGATACTATAGCTCACTAGATTTTTTTCTCCATATTTAGCAGACAATGCTGCTGACAGAGATGTATAGAAATTTAACTGGTGGGCTCACTCTTCAATTGTTTCATCAGACTAACTCTCGATATGTAACAATTGCAAGCGAGTTTTGGACGTGGGGTTCAGGTATTTGCGATAGAGGCGCCATAATCGGAAAATCGTTCAAAACCTTGGTTCTGTGAGGGATGAATCTATTTCCATCATTGTTCTGTGGTCGAATAAATACTGTGCTCAACATTTTCATTCAAATTTCAATTTGAAATAGAAGCAAGAAATCTTTTTTGTAGCCGATTTTAATAAGCTTCACTTCTTTCATGACATGAACCTATTTAAAGCATTAAATCTGATGATTTTCCTCATTGAAGAACCAGAACAAAGAATGTATAACTATTGAAATAAACCAATATCGAAAATCATAATAGGAAGATATGGTAACTGGTACCTCAGAATGTATTCACACCAGTTCACGCTAATATTTCAAATCACTGAAATAATACTGTTGTAGAACAAAAATTTTCTTTTTTCTATGGTGTATTAGGTATTATACACAAAATTTAGAAACTACGGAACACGTCCCTAATGAACACTTGACCCCAATCTCAGAAATATCCAGAGAAATATCCATTTTTTCAGCTCAAGAATATTTTTGACATATTGACGTCTCGATTATTCGATCAGGAATCAGTTCACTGCTCTGATCCAAATCATATACGTATCCAAATATTTATCGGTCGGTAATATGTTTCCTGTAAATATGGATTGTAACCAGGATGAGCTTAGCGAGATTTACCCACGTCAAGTATGTTTATCAACGGTTTATCAGAGTAGGCGCCATCGAGAAACTTGCAAGCGACCTTCAATAGGGAGCAAGCGCACCAGTTAAATTTCTATACATCTCTCTGCTGACAATGGGGGACTTCGCTCAAAGTTGCCAACTTAAAAACTCTACCAATGTAGAAGCAATATTATGGAGGTTTGATTACTCAAATAGCTTTATTTTGATGAAATCTGATCGTGGGAGTCTACTCAGATCACGATTAGAAGTTACTCAGAAGAAAAATCAATTTTTGGTAACTCCAGTTCTGATTAGTTGAAAATTATGTTGATGCACCTGCTTTCATTGGGTTAAGAAGGGATCACACGCAGCGCAACTAGAATTCAGGTTTATATTTAGAAACATGATTCTTCGATTTGGTCAGAATTTCACCAAAACCGGACATGAATTGAAAACGTTACAGGGCGATCAATTTGGCAAAATTTTTGGCTGGCCGTTTTTTTGTATCGGTGAGTGTATATGAATATTTTCAACCCAACATTTATTCTTTCAAGAACTCGAGATTTATTAACTTCGACACCAGCAAGATTGAAACCCCCAAAAATAGTTGCTAGAAAAAAATCCATTTGAGTTATGTAAAGATAGGTACTATTTCATATTGTTGATAATAGGCGAGTGGACAAAATTTTTTTTTATTACATAAATAGAATCATCACTCGAATACCTTTCAATTCCATATTTTTTGAGAATTCTTCAGTCGATTCTAAGGTGCCAAAATCATCAATAATGCCACGGCAATTTTCAAACGGCTAGAAATATACCGTAAATGAAACTGACGTCAAGATTTCGTAAGTAGGGGCAGACCATATTACAGATGCCATTCGTTGAAATACGATTGGGAACTTCAGAAATATTATTTATTCAATAATCCAAACATTATCAATCATGTGCTGGTAATATTCCTAATTAGCATTGCCTGCAATTGCCTCAAAATGTTTCCTCATGTGTTGTGGCTTATTTTTTATTGAACCGGTAAACGCTCGGGTAAACGTGACAACACAGCACACGACTTGTGGACGTGGTCTTGTCAGTTCTCAACATTCAGCACAATGTTGTCAAGTCTCCAACATTCACATGAAACTTTGTTATGGAGTATAAGAAATATTTGGACATGCTGATTGCTCGAAAAAGTCAATAATCAACTATAATATATCATGGGTTCCTCCTACTATGTGTTATTCAACGACAATACTAACATCTTTTTGATAACTTGATTATAATTGATGACTTGGCAACCTTGCCTCATGAGTGTGAGTGGAAGATTATCTGACCAATTACAAAACAGCATAAAAGCTAACGTAACCCATTATTCGACATATCGCCGAATGGTGGCCATGATGGTACGTGTGAAATGAGCTCTGAAATTCAACAATTTCGACCAACGCATAAACTCATTAGTTACATAAAAAAGCGTGAGAAGTGTTGCAAAAGTTAATTTAGTTCCCTAACGACATAGCTGAGTAAATGAATGCCAATATCTCAATTTCAGTCCACTCGCCCATTGCCATGCTATTTTAAAATAACAGATTAGAATATTATTGCTTCGAATGAAGTTTCAGTACTTCAGTAATTTTTTGAACATTTTTCGACAGTTGTTGATGCAGGTAAATTTTTTATATTTTCGATGAATTTTTTTATATTTTTATAATTCCTATCACCTTTTTAGCATTGAAAAATATGTCTGACCAAGGGTCTCATTAATGTGTCACTTTTCTCAGTATAAAAACATTTTTAATGGGTATATAATATCATGTATATAAATGATAAACATAATAGGACCCAAAATTGGGCCTTGCAGAACACCACAAATCTTTTTTCATTTTTCGAGTTGAATGTTTGTGAGGTGAACATTTGTAATTAGGGTAGTTCAGACACTCTATCAAGCACTTGCCAAAATAGGTATCACGATGGCTAACAGCTGAGATTGCGAAAAATACAATCTAGATGCAAATATTTATCACTTTCTGCATTCGCTGTGAATGGGCCTTGTGGATGATAATTTTCTGCTACTATACTGACACCTGATTCATTATGTACCCTAAATGACCAGAATGAAAATATCTGCAATGATTCTGAAGGAATTATAAAAAACCCCATCTCAACAGTAAATTGTGGATAGTTATTTCTGCTCCTATCCTAATAATGTAGTTTATGTTGAGATAATCACCACGTAGTACGCTAGAATAGAATAGAATAATCAAGGATAGCAGTTATCAAGCACTAGCCAACATATATTTCTCACTTTCTGCGTTTACTGTGAAAATAACTGATTCAATCACCAATCAGACTTATAGAAGAATATTGGTTCAATTGGGCTTGTGGATGATAATACTTTCAGCTCAAACTTCTATTTTGATAACTTTTGTGTTACTGTATTGACACTTATTTAGTATGTACCCTAATGATCAGAATGAGAGTGATTCCAAAGGAATTATAGAAAGCCCCATATTAACCCGGCAACACTCAGGTGGATGATCTGTTCATTATCACTCAGATGGGATCTGATTTACCCATGATTAGAAACACGGAAAAAGTAAAGAAAAACCGTTATCCTCAAATTTGTATGTGTTGGAAATGATTTTAGATGTATTTCAATCAGGATAATAAGCAGAATATTTTTATCAAAAGTTGAATTTATGAGATATCATTAAAACAATATAAATGGGAGAATTATCATTGAAAAAAAAATCATATCTATTGAAACTGTTGGAGAGATGAATAATACTCAATTCGTAAGACTTTACGCGAAACTAATTATGCAAATGTTCGAGTTATCAGCTAGAGAAGTAGCATGAAGTATAAAGTATATGACAAAAACAAAAAATGATCACTATTCATACCAGATTTTACACGTATATCTTTAAATAACATTGATCGATTGATTTTATTACCCCAAGAATCATATCTATTTATAATAGGGCTGCATGAACACACATATAAAAAAAATAATATTAAAAGGTTAACTAATGAATTCCACTCGGTGGAAACAAATTCATACTTTTTCCTAAGAGGAAAGTTATAACATTTCAATTCTGAGTAATCAAATCATGCCAAATATTTTTCAATCAAATTGTCCTGACCAGGTATTGTTTAAGATTGACTCTTAATCTTCTTACATCATGTATATTTTTCAATTCATTCGGTAATGAATTGTATAAAATTTTTCCATTATGAAATATAGATTTTTAGCCGAAGTTCGACTTGAATGTATTTGCTATCAAATAATTCAATTGTCTAGTCTCATAAGTATGGACTGTATAGGGTTCATTGAAAGCTATGTTTGATATTTTGAATTTATTCCTGACAAAATGAATAAAACAACATATTTTGAATTTCAATAACAAAATCAGATTTAGAAATGTTCTAGGTTTGTATCTGTTAGTTCTTGAAAATATATATGAAAAATGCACTTAATTGATTTGTTTTGTAATTTCATTAGTAGTTTGAGGCGTGGAATATTTGTGCTTCCCCAAATCGAAATTGAATATTGTAAATTTGAATATACGAGACAAAAGTAAATACACTTCAGGTATTTTACAGGAATGATATTTCGGATTTTGAATGAAATGCCTATGATTGGATTTATTTTATTTCTCGAATGGTCTATGTGTTTAGTCCACAATAATGCTTTATCATCACCTCTGTATATTTAATGAATCTATTGTTGAAATATGTCATAATCACTCAGAAATATACATATATGTAGATTTGTTAAAATTAAGAGTCTACTTATGAATTTGTATACAAGATGATATGTTTTTCAAATCACTTCTAATAGCCTGTTCAATATAATTTAATTATTTCGATGCATAAATCAATTTTGTATCATTTGCAAACAATTTGAGCTTTCCTTTCTATTTCAGAGTTGATATTGAATTTATATAAATTAAAAATAAAATTGGTCCAAAAACTGATCCTTGCGGTACTCCACATGTGATATTCATAAGTATATATTATGTATTTCTTTATAACACAAGTGGGACTTCTCGATTCCCAGAGCTGTTTACTGCACTGTCAATATCTTGGTAGTTGACTAAAAACTGAATCAGCGCAAGAATATCACAGAATGAGTTGTTTCCTTTAGGCAACCAATGATACGTGCGTGCATTCACATGAAAATAACAGTAATATAAAATATATTAGGATCTCTTAGACCCCACCTGTGTAATGCTGGGTTAATAGTACATTCTTGATAGTTGTTTCGCTAGACTACTATCTAATAATGTAGTTTTAGTGAATATAACACCATCCTACACTTAGCACGCTCTTAGCGCTAGCGCATCATTCCCTAAAATTATTGTAGAGCGATCCAAGCCAGCTTAGAGCTTTATCAGCACGACACCGAAGATCCGGAAGTGCCGGAGTCGAGTACCCCGGAAGGCGACAGCGACTTGCACATGGCCCTCTTGTTGTCGCAAAAAGAACTAGAAAGGAAACGGCAAAGGGAGGAAGAGGAGCGAAAAGAGGAACAACAGCTGCTGGAAGAGATATTGGCACTGTCCCTGAAGGAAAAGTAATTTAACAGTGTGCAATAGCTGTGGTGCAACTGCTTGAGGTTTCTTAGGTTGGCAACAATCTGTCACATTTGTGTCATCAATGTCAACTGTCATTACTGTCAATGATAGCGGGAAATTGAAATTCCTCTACAAACAATTCTTCAAGTTTATAACTCATTTTATCTATTCTCTTTTTTATTCATATACAGGGTGGGCCACCAGTAACGCCTCGGTCTCTAGAAGGCTAACCACTTATCTTCTTGGAATTCTTCCTCTCTAGGAAACATACAGGGTGTCCCCAAAAACCATGAAACACTGAAGTTGAACTTTTTTCTATCGAAAACCCTATATATTATTTCATTTTGGGATTCTCCCTGATGAGCTGATTTCAACGACCCATCATACTTGGGGTCCAGCAGTTATAATTACTGAAATATAGGGTGTGAAAAATCGAGATATTCCTAGTTCAAGAATTTTTTGTGTCGAAACTATTCATAATTGGTCAAAACGGCTTACATGTCCCTATCTCAACTTTTGATCAACTATCTACTGATATTTAATTGGGACATATACCGGGTGATCAAGATTCTGAATTCTGCACCACCCTGTATTTGTTTCAATTAAATGTCAGTAGATAGTTGATCAAAAGTTGAGATAGGGACATGTGAGCCGTTTTGACCAATTATGAATGGTTTAGACACAAAAAATTCTTGAACTTGGAAAATCTCGATTTCTCACACCCTATATCTTAGTAATTATAACTGCTAGACCCCAAGTATGATGGGTCGTTGAAATCAGCTCATCAGGGAGAATCTCAAAATGAAATAATATATAGGGTGTTCGATTGAAAAAAGTTCAACTTCAGTGTTTTGTGATTTTTGGGGACATCCTGTATGTTTCAAAATAATTTCAAATGGTAGCCTATGTTGACATGCAACTTCCTAGAGAGGAAGAATTCCAAGAAGATAAGTGGTTAGCCTTCTAGAGACCGAGGCGTTACTGGTGTCCCACCCTGTATAGTGTCATTCATAAAGTTGGCTTCATATTGGTAAAACTTTCAATACGTAGTAATTTATTTTGAAATTCGACTTGGGCGTAGAGTTTGGTTTTAGAAAAGATGAAAAATTGTCCACTAGCTCGGAGTCACGTGACTTTTGCTACATGTCAACAAATTAATCACTGATAATAGGCCTATTTGTTCGATTTTCAAAAAAGTTTACTAAGAAAAGTTGTTTCTACTTCAATTTTACACACGTTTCTCGAATTTGAACATTCTATTGCAACTTTTAGTTCTTGAAAATTTTTGATTTCTTCTAATTGTAACTTCAACAAGTGTTCAAAACTTTGGTTATATATGTAAAGTAGTTTGATGGTATTTTGATAGTAGATGACTTTGGAATCATTTTAGTACTGAAAAAATCTCGGAAAAAATCAACGTAAATGAATTTGGCTACTGAATGATAGATCATACATAACACTAATTTGAAGCGGAGATTATTATTTCCTGAAGAAAATCATATTTCAGTGGATAATTAGTGACTGAAAGTTGGTAGCATGATAAAGCTGCTAGAAAAGAAATGTTTTTGTTGGTGTCTATTTTCCTTAATATTGTTTTTTCCGTTGAATAGCTGACGAAGCTACTGTGTTATCGAAACATGTCTTTTGATTTTGTGGAAATCTTATCGTTTGTGAAGTTTTTACATTATTAGAAGTTTTTCCGCATGACATAGTCTCATTTATTGAACATTGTGGCTGAAGAAATGTAGGTGGATGAAATGGCCAGGTTATAGGTTGTGATGCAGTGACAGTAATGACAGCTAATGGCAGATTGTTGCCAACCTGAGAATGCTCAAGGAGATGCGACCGATTTGCTATTGCATGTGGTCAATAGAACGATTCTTTATTTCTTCTGGCGATGACTGAAATACTGCGAATGTATAGGCCTTCTGAAGATTGTTTCTGGCATGTTTGTGATGATATCAGGGGGATTATTTCTTGATAGTTGGAGAGCCGGCTGCAAATTTCTACCGTCCCAAAAACATTGTTATTTATCGAACGGCGCCTGTGCCAATCACTATCCTGAGCAAAATGATTGAAAAAGTGCACTTTCCTGTGCGGAAATTCGCACTTGATTTCGCGATTTGCTAACGAGATAAGAGTTATGCCATCCGATACCAATTAAAGTTTATTGTTTATTGAAAAACCAGCTTCCATTCAGAAATAAAATTCTGGTATGAGGAAGTTGATTACAAACAACAATAATAAAATAATATAAGGTGACAACAACAACAAAAATCTAAAAATGCTGAATCGATCAAGTCATAAAAATAGCCACAGGGACAAATCAGTAGATGGCAAAGTATGAATTTTATCCATTTCGTAATGAAATTATGTGTTTTTTTAATTCAATTTCAAATTTTGAAATATGTCTGCCATTTTTTATATTATGTGGTAATTTATTAAATTCATTTAGAGCAGCGTGAGTAAATTTTTTTTGGCCAATTATAGAAGTAGCAGAATCAAGATGAAATAAGTTTGATTGTCTCGTGTGATGACCATGAATTTCTGAGTTTCTTATCAAAATAAAATTGGATTTCAGATTATTGTTCATTATATTATATGAAACTTTAAGAGAATCTATTTTATATAATCCATCCAATGAAAATTTTTCTGTTATCGCATACAGATCATTTGTACTTTCAGTGCTTTCTTATAAAGTGCAGATATTTTACTGAAATAATTTTTTGAACAAGATCCCCAAACGTTTATCATATAGGTAATACGACTGAGTATATGAGAATGAAATACTATGTTTATGACTTTTTTGTCAAGTTTAGGACATCTTCGCAAAGGTCCAATGATCGGAGATATTTTTTGTATCAGAACCTCTATATGCTTGTCACATTTCAAATTTTCATCAACCCACATACCAAGATACTTTATTTGTGTAGTTCTTTTCAATACTTTGAATGGTAGATCTCAAAAACCTACCTGCGCTACATCTCAATATGTATGTTTTGTTGTATATATCCCTATTATAAACAATAATGTTTCTTGGGGTAATAAAGACAATCAACTCTTAAATCCACGGCACAACAATGTATTTGCTTCTCTCATTCCGGACATACTTCCGTCATGTGAGAACGAGTTGAAACAAAAAGCAAATAAAAGGGGATGATGTCCCCTTTGCGAATATTCAAACGTGCCGCGATTCAAACTGATCTAAGTTATTAGTGGAAGAGCGTCAATATTTCCGAGAATATTTCGTCCTCGTGGAAAGATAATATCCGATGGATCATTGTGAAACTCATCTGGTGCTCGCACTAGAAGTATTCTAATCCACATGTTGAGTTTCACACTGGCCCATCTGATATTATCTTCAGAGTGGCGAAATATTCTCGGAAATAATAATAATAATATATTTATTTCATTCTTTGCTATAAACATTACATTGCATCTCATACAGGGTGTAAATAAATAAGTGTCACAACGAAAAACTGTAGATTCCACATGAAAAAAGAGATTTTTTTCCCTTTCGAAATTTTTCTCCGGACTTCCGTTTTCAAGATACAGGGCGTCAAATGAATACAAAAAAAAAATCTGTTTTTTGCTACTATCTTAGGGACCGTTTGAGCTACGGAGTTAAGCCTTCGTACACATTTCATCATCAATAATGACTACTTTTAGGGCCCTTGATCAATTTCCTTGCACATGTCAGTGGAGGAGAATTCAACGTATCGTAGGGGTTTAACCCCCCAAGTAGATTCTGAAGCGCCAATACCTTTTGCACAAAAAACGCTCTCTTGTCTCAATGCTCTAAAGTGAACAGTTTCGCTAAAAATGACTGTTCATGAATAAGAACATACAAAATCCTGATGGTATCTCCAAAAATCGTCCAATAATATGTTCAATAAGATGTCAGGTTCTTGAGTATGCTGGTCTCGATGCTGGTTTTCAAATTGTCAAGTTTATTAAGTGTTGTAAAGTGTGTTTAATAAAACTGAACATTTTCTATTTTTTGACGCCCTGTATCTTGAAAACGGAAGCCCGGAGAAAAATGTTCAAGAAGAAAGAAATGTTTCTCTTATTCTGAAAAATCTACAGTTTTCCAATGTGACACTTATTTGTTAACACCCTGTATGAATATAAATATATTTTATTAATATTTACAATGAAATAACATCAATAATTAGACAGATTCATATCTGGCATGGGATTATTCATGCGTTATTAAATCTAAGTTATTCAAATAAACAACAGAATTCGAAAATAATAATTATAAAATAAAATGCTCATGGTAAGTACAACATTATGACATGATGAAATAAATTAGTGAATGAGAATTCATTCACTCAGGTTTGATTTTTTCTTTGCAAGAGGATATGTTTCTTGACTTTTATTTTGAATTGGGTAATATTTGTGCAACTTTGGATATCATAAGGTAATTTATTGAATTTTGAGATAGCTCCGTCAGTGAACTCTTTTTGGCCAAGTGTAGAATTAGCAGCATCAAGATGAAACAAGTCATATTGTCTAGTATGATATTCATGAGAATTCCTTACCAATATCAAGTGTTTGAGGTGTTTTTTGATAATACCAAAAGAAATTTTGAGAGTATTTATCAGATAGTGCTCTTCCAAAGAAAATGTATTTGCTTATTTGTTTCTTCATTAAGTTGATTTAATGGGGTATCATATGGAAGTACTTTTAATGCTTCTTTATATAGTACAGATATTTTGTTGAAACTATTCTTGGAACATGAACCCCAAATATTTATGAGATAGTTCATTTTACTAAGGATGTGAGCGTATAAAACGGTAATTGCTATATTTGGGATGAGTTCTGGACATCTTCTTAGGGCACCAACTATGGGAGAATTTTATTCTTTGAGCATGCCAATATGCTTGTCCCATGTTAACTTTTCATCAATCCAAATACCAAGGTATTTGGTATAGGCAGTTTGCTTCAATCTTCCATTTTTTATACTAATATTCAAATCAATATTTTGTTCAAATATTGACGCTCTTCCACTAACTTAGATCAGTTTGAATCGCGGCGCGATTGGATATTCGCAAAAGGGACATCATCCCCTTTCATTTGCCTTTTGTTTCAACTGACACAGGTAGGTTTTTGAGCCCATTCAATTGGTACCGGATGGCATAATTCTTATCTCGTTATGATATCGCGAAATCCAGTGAACATTTTCACAGGAAAGTGCAATTTTTCAATCATTTTGCTCAGGATAGTGATTGGCACAGGTGTCGTGAGATAAATAACAATGTTTTACATGCCTTTGGGACATATATTATTTCTTTATCAGATGAAATTTGCAGCCTGCTCTTGGACTATGAGAGGCGTTCATGGAATTTCTTATTCAAATGTCATATTGTTACATAAAAGATGCTCTATCGGTTGTAACGGAGATTTGAAATATGTGATCTGAAGCCTGGACTAGATGAAAAGAATAGACTGTCATTAGTTTTCAAGTGATACCTATTTTTAAATTTGTAAGTATGGAAATGAACGGTGAATGTGATATTTCAAGTGAACTGTACAGGACACACCTCAAAGATTTCTAATTTTAATAACTAGGAAATATAAAAGCTTATATTCCATATCATGAAAGTTCGATAACAAATATTTTTCTGATTTTATATAATGTAAAATCTTCTCAATATTGAATCGTCGATTTTCCTCCCACAGAAAAAAAAAGTGTATTATAACGGGAAAGATACTAGATGTCGCGTTGGTAGAGCTAAAATCTATATGTTAAAAATATAAACAAAAATCCTGACTAGGTAATTCTAAGAAGTAGCCAAAAAATTTAAAGGAGAAGAGACATTTTTCATAATGCCACACTAGTTTTCCACACCAGACTCCATCTTTTGGGAATAATCAAGAATTGATTCATCAGTTTTCTGGAATATTATAATTTTTTCTGTGACGGGAAAAAAGTTTGGCATTTCATCTATAATGACAGGTTATGAAATGTCACTTTTCATAAATTACTTTTTTCCTGTGAGAAACAAGTGAGTACTCTTTTCCCGGATATATATCACATATACAGGGTGTTTCATAATTGAATGCTGATCCTTAAGGGCGATAATCCTTGGATGATTTCAAAGAGAAAAGTTCATATCAACATATGTCCTAAACCTCTTAGTTATTGAGCTACAGGATGATGAAATTTCAAGCAAAAAATGAGTTTTTCATCATAGTTTTTCATCACTCTTAGATATTGTTATGATATTTTGTATACACCTTTTCATTATTAAGGAGCATTTTTTTATGTGAAAGATATTTAAAAATTCTCACCAGTGGCGTCCGTACGGAGTTTGAACTGACAATTTTTTAAGAAAAAAATAGTACGCCACTGATTTTTCTGAGAACCAGATTTTTTTTTCAATTCTTATTTATTCTGGAGCAAATTTGGTTCCTATACTTACTTTCATACAACGTACCGTTTTCGCGTAAAAAAAGAAAAACCAAAGAATTTTGTTCCTTCAGTTCTTGTATATTGTTTTCGGTTATTCAGTAGACACCCACTATAAGTGGAAACACATTTTGTTTCGGGACGAAAATCAAACTTTTACTTTTACCAGTGATGTCCTCGTAGACCTGATATTGAATGTTTAGTTTAAAAAAACGCTGTACGCTTCTGATTTCAACACCCTGTAGCTCAGAAACTAAGAGGTTCAGGACATATGTTGATATGAACTTCTCTCCTTAAAATCATCCAAGGATCATCGCCCTTTAGGATCAGCATTCAATTATAAAACACCCTGTATGTGTATATACACTGTTGATGGCTTTTGTTGTGCTATAGTTCCGAAAAATGAGTCAATAATACCATCTCCGAGAAAGAACTGCAAGTCCTTTTATCTTCCATTCGACTTCGCGGTTACGTATATTACTAAACAACCACTAAATTCGCAATTTTTTTAAATCAAATCACAGAATTAGACTGACAGAAGTGACATCAGATATTTGATTACTTCAAAAGAATGATAAAGAAGCCTACAAGGCAGGTGTCCTTACTGTTAAACTTGAAATTTCACGTCGATAATTTTCAGATTTCAAAATAATGTAATATCTTTTCAATAATTGATTCGTCCTTTCTTCTGTCACAGAAAAAATAGTGTATGTTATACACGGGAAAAATATTAGATTTTAGCTTACCTGGAGCTAAAATCTACTACTTTTTTCCCTTGTATAATAAATAACTATTTCATGTTTTACAAAAAAAAAACGGTGTCAATTTCAGTTTTCATTTCTAATTTATCCTAAATCCGTAAAAAAAGGACAGTCTATTCTCTCATTTAGTCAACGCCTGCGCCTGAAGGTTTATTTTGGAACAATTGTAATCCCTTCTACTTGCATGAAATAAAATGAATGAACAAAAAAGATATGTACACATTCGACCAATATCCAGTAATAATTTTATTTGTGACAATCTGTTATCACAAAATAATGGTGGAACACTTGTAACGAATATCACTTACATACCTCAACTAGTGTATTTAGGTAATTAATTCTGGGAGAGCATAACTGTGCTTAAACATAAGTAATCAATTTCTTCCTAACATTTATTTGAATATTTACAGGCTGATTTTTTTTTTCAAGTTGGTGCTTGAAAAGTACTTTCTAAGATTACATTTTTATTTGAGAATCATTAGTTATTATAGTTCCTACATTTATAAATTTATTTATTCAAATTATAATATATTCATTAAAAAAACAATTAAAATTTCATTGTGTTTCAATTCTACTTAATTCTACAACACTTTCATGAACTGTCTTCTTGTGCCCTGAAATAAATAATCAATCATGTACATGGTGTTTCAGACTTATTCAAATATGATAAGTTGTTACTGTTTTCATAATTTCTAGCAGATTTCAAATTGAAAAAATACCTTTCTCTACCTCTCTTCCAGAATTTGTCTATCTTACCTCATCTCAATCCTTAACTCAATCAATCCATCTTAAATCCTCTATTTCAATTCTTCTATCTCTACCCTACATCTAACTCTCTGATTTCAGTGTCTTAAATGGCGGACTTATGCAACATTTACATAGTCCTAGTCTTAGTGCTAAGCATAGTGTTGGCATTAATTTTTGTCTTAAAGATTTGAGGTATTTATCCAGAAACATTAAAACTTGATTTAGGCATAAGACTCATGTGAGAATTTGTTGTCCTTTTTGTATCAGAGATGAGGAAAATAATCTATCAAACTTATCAACATCTGAGCTATCTCATAATATTATTTTCGGAGCATGTAAACAACAAATCATCAACAATTCTATCAAAGGAGCATGCGCCGAATCCACATAACATAAGCATAAAAGTTCAAATTAATCAACTTTCAAGGTCGTTTCTTAGGCTTGTGCTTATGCTTATGACTAAAATTGGTGTGTTAACGGCCTCAAGCAAGTACCTTGTTTCAACTTCTAGTTTTGCTCAAAATTAAAGACTATGATTAGGACTATGCAAATGTTGAATAAATCCACCAAAAATACTACAATATTCTAAAAACAAATATAACCAATTCAGAACTTTTTCACTTCTACAAAACATGGCAATTAAATTGGCTATTCATTCAAGAATTTAAAACTTTCCAGTGATAAAATTGATCCACTCAAATTAAAATATACAGGAGGTTATTTGAGATAGCAAAGGCAGTAATAGAGATAAAATTTCTTTTCTAGTGGTAGATACAGCTCACTAGATTTTTTCTCCATATTTAGCAGACAATGCCTAGAGTGACTATAAATAGAGACAATTAATAGTGGTACACTTTTTGATTAGTCAGACCTTTAATATGGAGGTGCATTCACCTGTCTTGTTTTCACATAATTCAGTTGGGTGTATAATACCCACACTTCCCTCCAAATATGAAAATGATACGACAAATAGTTTTGAAGAACTGGGCAAAAAACATTACAAAATTTTTGAATAAAACACCCTGTAACTCAGACAGGAGACATATTTTATCTTGGTGATTTGGGTAAAATCTTCATATTTTGAGTTCGGGATTCTATGGTTGAAATATTTCCAATTAGTAATGAAACACCCTGTATAAAAGACTCATTTCATAGGAATAGTATATGTATTTCATTGGTATATATGTACAGGGTGGCCAACTAAGATTCCAGAGTTCAATTTCTCTGTTGTCTTGAGAGATACAAAAAAAAAGTAATGTATCAAAATTGAATTAATGATCCAGCTTCACATTTCAAAATTTCTTTGAAATACACAGGGTGTTCCGTAAGGTCACAGCACATCAATGCTATGTTTTTTTCATCAGAACACCCTATATTTTATTTCATTTTTGAATTCTCCCTGAAGATCTGATTTCAACGACGTATTATACTTAGGGTCTAGCAGTGAAAGTTACTAACATATAGGGTGTGCAAAATCGAGATTTTCCAAGTTCAGGATTTTTTTCTGTCGACACTGTTCATTATTCGTCAAAACGGTTCACATGTCCCTATCTCAACTTTTCACTCACTATCAATTGGTGTTCAATTGACATTTAATTGAAACAAATTATAAATTTAGATTTTTTGACCACCTTGTATCAATTTCAATTGAACACCAATTGATAGTGAGTGAAAAGTTGAGATAGGGACATGTAAACCGTTTTGACGAATAATGAACAGTTTCGACAGAAAAAAATCCTGAACTTGGAAAATCTCGATTTTGCACACCCTATATGTCAGTAACTTTCACTGCTAGACCCTGAGTATGATGGGTCGTTGAAATCAGATCTTCAGGGAGAATTCAAAAATGAAATAAAATATAGGATGTTCTGATGAAAAAAACATAGCTTTGATGTGCTGTGACCTTACGGAACACCCTGTGTATTTCAAAGAAAATTTGAAATGTGAAGCTCGGTTATTACTTCAATTTTGATCCATGAATTTTTTTTTTGTATCTCTCAAAACAGAGAAGTTGAACTCTGGAGTCTTAGTTGGCCACCCTGTACATACCAACTTGATATCGACGTCCATTGAGGTCCTTCAGCCATTTCATTCGATATTTCGGGAAGAAATAATTTTCTTATCAATTTATCGTACCCTTTTACCCACCCGAGGAGACGGCTTTGCACTCTCATACAAAAATCAAAGACAGAGAAAGATATATGGATGTACTCTTCCCAGGACTTGTGGAGGAAGGAAGAGAGGATCCTTTACCTAAGCAAAAAACATATCCTTGTCCTTGACTGGCAAAACATGATTTGCTTCAAAATCGTTTGTGGTTATGTTTGATTGTCACTGCTTGTGGCTTGTCTAGTGTCCGTTAAAAAATAAGCGTACGACACCTATGGGAGTTCTATGTTAACTTTGTTTTCATTGGTTCACATTTGTTTTTCGTTTGTAATAAACGTCATAACAGCAGTGTCAAGTACATTTAGGAACTCTAGTCTTCCCCATCTATCCTATTCTTCAGTATTCCAATGTAAAAATAATGGAAATTTTATGTTGGTAACATTGAAAATGGGAAAAAATGAAGAAGATCATATCAACCTCAAAAATAGAATGGTCTTCTTCTCCATTTCTTCTTATTTCTAGTATTGCCAACATAGAATTCTCATCATTTTATGCTGGAATACTGAAGACAAGGACAGATATGAAGACATTTTTTTCTCTCTCAACGCCAGCTGAATCTATTTAGATGGAGGATTTGGAGGCAACTATTTAACAAAGTATCAAAATCAATCAGTTTCCAAGATAAATCCTGGCCAAGTGAAGTAATAGTCCAAGAGCCAACTGCAAATTTTGACTGTCATCTGATAACAAAATGTTATAATGTTCCAAAGGCTTATAAAAACATTGTATATCATCAAACAGCACCTGTGCCAATCACTATCCTGAACAAAATGATCGAAAAATTGCACTTTCCTGTGCAATAATTTGCACTCAATTTTGCAAAAATACAAATGAATTTCCTTATCAGATGTTGGTCAAAATTTGCAGCTGGCTCTCCTACTATTGGTCTGGGACACCTTGTATAAAGGATGTCCACATCACAGAGTTGCAACTTACTTATTGTAAATTCCATTCAGTGTTTCCATGCTTCTGGAGTACCTTGATTCATTTTTGGCAGCTGTTTCAGCCCACTTTGCCTTGACTTTAACCCATCTTTTCATATGCATCTGCATCAGGATGTTTTTGTCTACAGGAGGACTTTCATCCTGTAATACATACAATGTGTCAAAAAAATTATGCTGAGCATAAAAACCAAATCAAAGCAAGCATTTGTTGATGTAATGTAGTATTGTGGATTAATTTTTGAATTTATTGAGTATCTTTCTTCATTTAAGAATTCATTCATTAGATTAATTTGCAATTGTTGATCTATAGTCAACTAGAAAGTTTATTTCTTGTGGAACACCAAACTTACATAATCTAAATTAATGTTATCCTTATTCTGTTCCTGTTCAGGTATGGGGGATGGAATTCTTGATTCCAGGATACCCACAGGTGGTGGTAGTAAATTTACTTCTGATTCAGTATTTTCATTTTCATTCCAGGAGTTATCTTTGACACTAATAGGTGAGGTAGCAGGTTCTGGTGATGATAATCTTCTTCTAGATTGAAGAAAATTAAATCAATATATCATCAGTTCCCCCTATAGAAGAGGATAAATGAAATTAATTGTAATTACTTGATAGTGAGTGGTTGAGCATTCCTAGGCTGATTTTGCATCCAAGCTCTGCAAATAGGATACAGTGGTGTATCCTCCTCAAATCTTGCTAGATCCACACTTCTATCAAACAATTTCATTACATAAGTGTGGTGGTAAGGAGTGGGCATATTCTCAACATTTCTCTTTCTACGGGACTCTCTGAAATACCAAAAAATTATAAGCTAAGGATGTTTCACAAGCATCATAAATCAAATTATTCCATATTGCCCTGAACAAGGATCATACTTTTGGTGTCTTTTGTTGTCACCTGAAGAGTCACTTTCATCTCCGGAGGATTGTTCAGTAAGTTGCTTCAGAACCCCCTTTAAACGTCCTTTGGCCATCAGATAATCATTTCCTAATAGATTTTCCTCTTTCACTTCCACTTTTAGTGGACTTGATGAATCTGACAATTTACGTTTTTTCGTCATGTCTGATACTTTTAAACTGGAAAAAAGTATTATTACGTCAGTATCCCAAAATCTGAAGATTGGATTTTACTTTTACCTACAAATTATCGAGTAGAGAACAGAAACAGAAGATGTAAACAAGAGTTTTGTTTGTTGTTTGGGTTTGGATGGTTCAAGAGTAAGTTAGGTTAGGATTTTTACAGGTTTCTTCCCAAGGTGTCTTCTTCTTTTTATTCGTCTTCTTTGTTTAAAAGTCCTTAGCTTGATAAGACATTTACACTGAAATAAAACATATCTTCAATATAAACTCCCAAAAGAGTAAATTCAAGATTTATCATGAGAAAAACTTCACTTATTACGAATTGTCCTTGATAGAGGTATTGGGAATATTGGAAGCTCATTTCCAACATTATTGGGAGGAATTTCATTATTAATCGATTCATCTCTATGTCACTTTGTGGAACCATCCTCGCACTAGGTCGGGACTCGGTGGTCGTGGAGAGTTAATAATCCTTGGGGGCCTACTAGGTATTCATTTAGATCATATTATTTAGATCGACCATTCATTGGGGAATTCAAAGTTGGGATTGCATGGGGTTTCCTCTGACAGTGTTTGCATTAAAACTGTCTTGGCGCCTACATCAGGCATTTCCTTAGAGCTTCTGCATGTTCTGATCATTTGGAAAGCGAAAAAAACATTACTTTTTTGTCGAAAGTCTTTGATTGGTAGTCCATGTTGCACCCCACCACTGCAACAACGCATTATTACTTTACAAAAATCGTAAATTTTCAAAAAATCGCCAAATGCATCAACGACTGAATGAGGGCTAACATTTAACATTAATTATGTTCACCAAACCGCGCCTCCGAAACATGAGGTCAGGGTTGGTAGAACTGATACATATACTTCTTATTTTCGTGTCATTTGGCCTTTTTTCTCCGTCAATGTAAGAAAAGGTGGTAAAATTTCACATTGGGAGTAAAATAACGTAAGACGGCTCACGTCTTCCGATAACTTGAGGTTTTTCCTGCTACATAATTTTTTATTTTGTAAAAATTTTCGATAAAACAGTAGGCTATAGCTTTCAAGGCAAAATTTTAGGAAATCTCCCTGTTGAAGTCTCGGAGCACAGCAGCAGATATGTCAAAGGCACTTCATGTCTGATGTGAATATGTGAACTACCCGGTCATTTGCATAAAAGCTTATGGACTAATAGGTCAAATGTTCGCCTTTTTGATTTTGAGTGATTGATAAGTGATTTGCTGATTTGATCAGACATGTTTGCAGTTTGAGTTCCGTTCCGTGTTGTTTTAATTTTAAATGGTTTAAATAGGTTTAAATTGATATGAATTCACACTTTTTCACCCAATGTGGACCACACAGGTATTTATATTTTGATTTGAATGATCAATCTGAACTGTTTCAAATGATATTTATGAATTTACTGAAAGCCATCCATGAAGGAGCCCCCTAACTCTAACCATATTTCATATTATCATACCATGTTTCTTGGGGGATTCACATCAGTCCTTTTCATCTTGTTAATCTTGGTATAATTGAAATTGACACAGGATGAGGATTGAGCCGATTGAGGATGTGACAAAATTTAACAAGATAGAATATTTATTTGCAAACACTGTTATAAACATCATCATAGGTACAAAATATTTTTACAAAAAGGTTCTGTCATGGAATCAGGAAAAAAAAAAGTAGCAAAATAGCTTCATTGCACCTTTGAAAACAAATAATCATGAATTTGGTTATCAATGAAAGTATGATTATAAATCTCAATATCATAATTATAATACCTATACCTATCTGACATAATGTTAGTCATCTATATATATACAGGTCTACACTCAATTACACATAACTATAGGTAGACCGGCAGGACTATCTATATGTATATCAGTTATATCACACAAACACAAAAGCAATATTCTTTCCACAACTTTCACCCACCTAGAGGTTCAACCCAGGGTTTTTATAGTATAAATACAGATGTCTTTCCTTGCCTTATATGTCAGTTTATCTTCAAACAAAATTCATTTAATTAATGTGAAGTTATTTTGCTTTTTGGGGTAGTATAGAGGTATATCAATACCGACTTAATAAACATTTCAAATCCAGAAATCCTAATAATAAGGTGACAATAAGGTGTATTTAAAAAATAAAGAATCTGTTTTTAGTATAGTTCTAATACCATACTATAGGCATATAGGTACCTCGCTATATATGTATCAGTGAGATTGATTGATGACAACTCTATAATATAAATATATAGTCTCTCCTATTTTGAACTCACTTGATAACTACCTAATGAAAAAAAAACTGAAAACGAAAAATAAACATCCATCAAGCATTACGGGTGTGAAAGCAGCAACGGTTTTTCTGGCAACGGTTTTTCAACTTCATTTATGGTATATGGAGGAAGGACTTTTTCTTTCGCTCAAGATTTTTCTACACAAGTCCACTAACCTGAAGAAGTTGAGAAAGGCTCCTAACAAAAAAATAATTTGTGATTTCTAAACCACCCCATAACCACCCCACATAACAGAAAAATCGTGAGACAGTTGGGAGATACCTTAATCGCGATTTCATTATGTAAATCGATAATTTTACACTAATTGAACACCCTCCATACAATGAAATAATTTGTGAACTAGAAACTACCCCTCAACAACCCTCCGAAATAGAAAATTCATAAATCAGTTGAAATTACAGTTGCGCGATGTTTTTTGATGGAAATGAATTATTCTAGACCTGCTGACTACTCTTTGTAGGGTGAAATATTTTGTGAACCAAAAACTACCCCTCAGCAACCCTCCGAAGTATAAAGATCATAAATCAGTTGAAATTCCTGTTGCATGAGATTTTTTGATGGAAATGGATAATTCTAGACCTGTTGTATACGGTTTATGGGGTGAAATAATTTGTGAATCAAAAACCACCCCTCAGCAGCCCTCCGAAATAGAAAATTCATAAATCTGTTGAAATTACAGTTGCTGAAAGTTTTTTGATGGAAATGAATTATTCTTGACCTGCAGAATACACCCTGTAGGGTGAGATAATTTGTGAATCAGAAACTACCCCTCAACAACCCTCCGAAGTGTAAAAATCATCAATTAGTCGTAATTCTTGTTGCGCTATGTTTTTTGATGGAAATGAATTATTCTAGACCTGCTGTATACGCTCTATGGGGTGAAATAATTTGTGAACCAAAAACTACCCCTCAGCAACCCTCCGAAGTGTAAAAATCATCAATTAGTCGTAATTCTTGTTGCGCTATGTTTTTTGATGGAAATGAATTATTCTAGACCTGCTGTATACGCTCTATGGGGTGAAATAATTTGTGAACCAGAAACTACCCCACAACAACCCTCTGAAGTAGGAAAATCATGAATAATCTGTTGAAATTACAGTTGCTGAAAGTTTTTTGATGGAAATGAATTATTCTTGACCTGCAGAATACACCCTGTAAGGTGAAATAATTTGTGAACCAAAAACTACCCCTCAACGACCCTCCGAAGTGTAAAAATCATCAATTAGTTGAAATTCTTGTTGCAAGAGATTTTTTGATGGAAATGAATTATTCTAGACCTGCTGTATACGCTGTATGGGGTGAAATAATTTGTGAACCAGAAACTACCCCTCAGCAGCCCTCTGAAATAAATAATTCATAAATCTGTTGAAATTACAGTTGCTGAAAGTTTTTTGATGGAAATGAATTATTCTTGACCTGGAGAATACACCTATGTTGAATCGAATGTATTAATATTTTTAACATTCGAAAGAGTGGTAATTTTTGTGGTTCACATAATATTTCACCCCATAGAGCTTTCACCAGTTCTAGAATAATTCATTTCCATCAAAAAATTATGTGCAAGGGGAATGCCAACTGATTTATGAATTTTCAACTTCGAAGGGTTGTTGAGGGGTAGTTTTTGGTTCACAAAATATTTCACCCTATAGAATGTATTCTGCAGGTCAAGAATGATTCGTTTCCATCAAAAAACTTTCAGCAACCGTAATTTCAACGAATTTATGAATTTTCAACTTCGAAGGGTTGTTGAGGGGTAGTTTTTGATTCACAAACTATTTCACCCCATAAAGCGTATAGAGCAGGTCTAGAATAATTCATTTCCATCAAATAATCTCTTGCAACAAGAATTTCAACTAATTTATGCTTTTTACCTTTCGGAGGGTTGTTGAGGGGTAGTTTTTGGTTCACAAAATATTTCACCCTACAGAGTGTATTCTGCAGGTCAAGAATAATTCATTCCCATCAAAAAACTTTCAGCAACTGTAATTTCAACAGATTAATGAATTTTCTACTTCGGAGGGCTGTTGTGGGGTAGTTTTTGATTCACAAATTATTTCACTATATGAAGCGTTTACAGCAGTTCTAGAATAATTTCATTTCCATTAAAAAATCTCATGCAACAAGAATTTCAACTAATTTATGCTTTTTACACTTCGGAGGGTTGTTGAGGGGTAGTTTTTGGTTCACAAAATATTTCACCCTACAGAGTGTATTCTGCAGGTGAAGAATAATAAATTCATATCAAAAAACTTTCAGCAACTGTAATTTCAACAGATTAATGAATTTTCTACTTCGGAGGGCTGTTGTGGGGTAGTTTTTGATTCACAAATTATTTCACTATATGAAGCGTTTAAAGCAGGTCTAGAATAATTCATTTCCATAGAAAAATCTCCTGCAACAAGAATTTCAACTAATTTAAGCTTTTTACACTTCGGAGGGTTGTTAAGGGGTAGTTTTTGGTTCACAAAATATTTCACCCTATAGAATGTATTCTGCAGGTGAAGAATAATAAATTCATATCAAAAAACTTTCAGCAACTGTAATTTCAACAGATTTATGAATTGTCTACTTCGGAGGGCTGTTGAGGGGTAGTTTTTGATTCACAAATTATTTCACTATATGAAGCGTTCAAAGCAGGTCTAGAATAATTCATTTCCATAGAAAAATCTCCTGCAACAAGAATTTCAACTAATTTAAGCTTTTTACACTTCGGAGGGTTGTTGAGGGGTAGTTTCTGATTCACAAATTATCTCACCCTACAGGGTGTATTCTGCAGGTCAAGAATAATTCATTTCCATCAAAAAACTTTCAGCAACTGTAATTTCAACAGATTTATGAATTTTCTATTTCGGAGGGCTGCTGAGGGGTGGTTTTTGATTCACAAATTATTTCACCCCATAAACCGTATACAACAGGTCTAGAATTATCCATTTCCATCAAAAAATCTCATGCAACGGGAATTTCAACTGATTTATGATCTTTATACTTCGGAGGGTTGCTGAGGGGTAGTTTTTGGTTCACAAAATATTTCACCCTACAAAGAGTAGTCAGCAGGTCTAGAATAATTCATTTCCATCAAAAAACATCGCGCAACTGTAATTTCAACTGATTTATGAATTTTCTATTTCGGAGGGTTGTTGAGGGGTAGTTTCTAGTTCACAAATTATTTCATTGTATGGAGGGTGTTCAATTAGTGTAAAATTATCGATTTACATAATGAAATCGCGATTAAGGTATCTCCCAACTGTCTCACGATTTTTCTGTTATGTGGGGTGGTTATGGGGTGGTTTAGAAATCACAAATTATTTTTTTGTTAGGAGCCTTTCTCAACTTCTTCAGGTTAGTGGACTTGTGTAGAAAAATCTTGAGCGAAAGAAAAAGTCCTTCCTCCATATACCATAAATGAAGTTGAAAAACCGTTGCCAGAAAAACCGTTGCTGCTTTCACACCCGTTCAAGCATTTCAGACTGAACATGTCAATTCTCTTATGTACATAATAAGTATGTAAACTCAAGTTATATATCACTTGTGCCTTTAGGTTTCATGCTACAGGAAGCATAAATAATAACCATTCTTTGAAGGCATTTCACACTTTCACAGACATCAGAAACAGGCCACATAAATATAGGGACTTTCAACAAAGATAATAAAATCACTAAATTTTGACTTATATTTGATTGACATGATCGTTGAGATATTCACACTGCAAATAGCTCCAAGTAGGTAGCATAAAAAAATCTGAAAGAAAAAAAAAACAAATTACAGAAAATAGTATATTATTATATGTTCATGCATAATTAAAAAGTATGTCTCAGTCTCAATATAAGTTGGAACCATAAATGGAAAACTCAATTTTTATTATAAATGAATCACCCCTTGAATTTTTTCGGTGCTATTTAGATACTCGAATTTCACTCACCTGGTATAAATACTCACATCAATATCAGAACAGGTCAGCGATTGCATCTAACCCAGCATGTCTTGTGCTTTTTTCTTAATTCCCTGTAGGCCTTCCTTGATATCGTCTTTCCTGTCACCGGCGAATTCTGAAGTCTTTTCGGCGGCCTTGCTAACTAAATTTTTAGATTCTGTCACTTTGTTGTCCACGCCTTGTTCAACTTTTTGTGCTCCACTCTGAAATAAATTCGTAGGTAGTCAATTAATTACTTTCAAACTGTGTTTGGTTGGTCAACTAGAAAACTAAGACCCTGTGTGTGCAATAAATTGTCTTTTCCTGTTTTCTCTCATTATTTGCTTTGGTCTCTTTTATGTTTATGTATTGTCTATTCTATTATTTTACCCGATTTTACCACCCATTTTAATAACCAATACCATTGCAAACTTTTGGTTGGTAAAGTTGAAATTTTGAAACATGCAACCATTTTTGATTTTTTGCAACCATTGATTTTCAACTTGTATCATACAGAATTTTTTGAATTTTGGAAGAGAAATATTTTATGCCTTCAGCTTTATATCCATACAGTGTTGCCGCTTATATCAGAAAGTAGTAGCTACTTTGCCATTTCGAATGGCAGACCGTATATTATGCTATATTATGATAATTACCAATAACTATACACTGTATAGATGAAAATATTTTATACAGATAGAGAATGTACAATTATCAAAGCATTCCAACTTCCAGAATGTTCTGTCGTTTCATTCTCCAGATACTTCTAATAGGCCATCCACCGTGGATCACCCTGTATAGCTACCGAAATTTGACGTTGTCAATCAATCTGATATTGCTGTCTAGCAAAACAAGCTGAAATTGTCATCTTTTCGCTTCAAATTTCAGACAGCCAAAAGGCAACTATTCAAAGAATCTCATAATCATAACGATAGAATCTGCTGAGAGTTCAAATATGGGTTTTTGGGTGTATGATCAATTGACATTCATCATACAGGGCGTGGAAAGAAATTCTGAATTGAGACTCTATCACGAATCTGCGATTAGAGGTCTATAAAAATCACAAATTTCCATCGTTCAAGTTTGACCCCTGATTGGGTATGAAAGTGTTGAAAAGGAATGAATTATGGACATACAAAAATGGATATATATTTATATGAAGCAATACATTGAGAATTCGCATTCTCTATGTGATGAGAATATCTACTCTTTTTCAGTTCATTCAATAGAAAACAACTACTTTCCTGGCTATATGCCACGACGAACATTGAATTATATCTATTCAATGTTCGACGTGGCAAATAGCCAGGAAAGTAGTTGTTTTCTGTTGAATATTCAGAATGATGTGTGCTTATACATATTTCTGTCTGAAGGAGAATGCAAATTCTAAATTTCAGAAGTTTTTATATTTTATTTTCAACTCGATTTTCAAACTCTTATCGTGTGTGTTCAATAGATATAATTCAATGGTCGGTCGTCGTGGCATATAGCCAGGAAAGTAGTTGTTTTCTATTGAATAAACTGAAAAAGAGTAGATATTCTCATCACATAGAGAATGCGAATTCTCAATGTATTGCTTCATATAAATATATATCCATTTTTGTATGTCCATAATTTATCTGAGAATATTCCTTTTCAACAGTCAAATATGGGTATTCCACAAATTGATGTGTGGATATAAGGGACTCGAGAACAGCGGGCGGTAAAGTGCACTTTATGGCCCGTGGGCGGTAAAGTGCACTTTACCGCCCGCGTGCATAAAATATATATTTTATGGCAGTCCCAACTCCCTTGGCATTTATGAAATTTCCACCTGCATTATTTCATCAATATATTTTACCTGTAAGTTTTGTTTCTGTTGATTGGCAAAATCATTGGTATTCTTTTTGGCGTTCTGATAAGCATTTTCGACAGTGTCACCTCCTTGTTGAACCTGGTTAACGATCTTATGACTAGCTTCCCTCAACTTGTCATCGGCAACTATTCCAATATTGTGAACACCAGTGCTGAGAGCATCCTGTGTGCTCCTTAGTTTATCTAAAATGAAATCAGGTTTCAAGAAAAAATAAAGGAGTAAAATACTTTTTTTTATCGCTTGGAGCGCACGAAAGGGAATCCCTATAATGTTCAAAGAACATCGTGCGTTCCTAGGGAGGATAGGGACAGGAGGTAGGTATTGGAATTTTTTTTGAACTTTTGGAGAATATATGTTGTTGGAAATACTTCCACAGGCAATGAATTCCAGAGCCTAGCCGTTCTATGGATGAAGGAGTCTTGATAAAGTGCTGTTTGACATCTTTCGAGGTTGACAACGAAAGGATGTGCTGACTGGGCTTGTCTAGTTCGTCTGACTGGTATTGCTAGTGGAGGGATGATAGCAGAGATTTCCGAAGAACATTTCCCGTGGAAGTATCGATACAAAAGTGAAAGGTCGCCGACCTTTCTACGGTGTTTTAATGATGTCAAAGAGTGAGTGAGTGTGGCGTCACCCACCAGGCAGATGGCTCTTCTCTGGATGGAATCTAAGGGCATCAGCGTATGTTTTGGTGCTGAACCCCATATGTGGGAACAGTATTCTAGAACAGGCCGTATCTGCGCTTTGTAGATCATGAGAAACTGTTGAGGTGTAAAGTAGCTTTTCGCACGGAACAAGAATCCGAGTTTTTGTGAAGCAGCTTTTGCGATGGATCTGACATGATTATCCCATGAAAGAGTGTTGCTGATGGAAATACCGAGCATAGATATGGTGGGCTTGGTGGGGATGGTGGAGCCAGACATTACAATATCGGGCATACTGAGATCCGCCTTTCTAGAGAAAATACATGCTTGAGTTTTGGTGGCGTTGAATTCAACTAGGTTGTTGGTTCCCCCGCCCGTGATTTCAGCAAGTTCTTCATTGACAGCATTCACCTGCCTGCGCCGTGAGTTCTTAGTTTCCTGGGAAGAAATGGGAATTCTGGAAGAGAACGCAGTAGGGAGGGTACTATCATCTGCAAAGCTGTGGATGGGGCAAGTTGTTACTACCAACAGATCATTGATATGAAGAAGGAATAATGTTGGTGCCAAAATTGATCCTTGTGGAACGCCGGAACTGATGCCAATGGTATCAGACGATACACCGTCCACCACCACGTGAAGCGATCTGCCTGAAAGAAAATTCGATAAGAGATGGCATAGCTGAGGTGGTAAGCCGTATGATGGTAGTTTGTGGAGGAGTCCTTCGTGCCAAACACGGTCGAATGCTTTCGATATGTCCAACGCGACAGCTAGAGATTCCCCGTGTTTTTCTATTGAAGCTTGCCATAAATGGGTGACGTAGGCAAGTAGATCTCCAGTAGATCTTCGGTGGCGAAAGCCGTATTGTCTATCATTGATGATTGAAAAGAAGTCCTCTCAAAGCTCTCATAGTGACTATACAGGGTGTTTCGTAATATGTGGGACGCACTACGAGAGGTGATAGAGCGTCTCAAAAAAGTTCTCATGAACAAAACTCGTAGAAGGCTTTGTTTGCGAGATACATGGTGTTTAACGGTTATCCAGAAATTCAATGAAAATTATTTTTTATTTTCAGTTATGAAATTTTTGCGATAATCACCCATTGCTATCAGCAACGCAATTAATAAGTAGCCTTCTAATTGGTAGAAAATAAATTTATGAAATTTTCATTGTAGGTGAGTCGAAATGGATGTTCCTACAACATTGAGTTGAAATTGAAAAATTTTAATTACCTCCAGCTGTGTTGCTCAGGTGTTGCACATTTTGCGCCAACTGATCTTTTTTTGCTTCAGCTGCCTGAGCTGTATCATTGGTAAGTGTGTGTAATCTTTCAGAAAGCTCCTTTCTTTTGGCTTCTGCTGCCTCTGCTGATTCATGAAACTGCCTAAAGAATAATACGAATTATTATACAGTGTATATATATATGTACAGTGTCATTCATAAAGTCGGCATCATATGGGAAAAACTTTTATTAATGACTTATTTTGAAATTCGAGTTGGACGTCAAGTTTTGCTTCAAAAAATATGAAAAATGGCCTACTCAATCGGGGTCACGTGACTTTCGCTACATGTCAAAAGTGACATTTTTTCAAATTAATCGCTGAAAGTAGGCTTATTTGTTCGAATATCGAATAAGTTTACTTGAAAAAGTTGTTTCTATTGGAATTATTACTGGCACAACCATCTTGAGGTAACGCAGTAATACGTCTCATTTTATTATAGTTATCTGATATCTGCCTGAAACCTGACATTTCGACATGCTATTTTAATATAGCTCATTTTCAACAGTTATCCCAATATTTTTCTACTCTAGTATATTCATCAAACAGTGGTAATAAGGTTATCTAATCAACATTATTCGATGGTATGCATTATGAAACCATGCTTTGAATTACTGCAATGAAAATAAATATCCTATCCACACTATCACTTTTCATGATCCAAAGTTGAATTGTTTTCAAAAAAACAAAAAAATACGTTTAGTCTCTGAATTGAAATATTTGGGTCTCTGTTGAAGTTTTTTGACATTACTCATTGATTTTCTCGGATAAATATCATCTATATGCATTGCTGACGAATTTATCAAGAAATGAGAAGTTGAATACTTATATATTTAACCTTCCTCCGGATTTATGATGAGAATTGTCAATAAAACTTCCCTCACAGAAACCCAGATATTTTGATTCAGAATATCATCGATCATTTTGTTTTTGAAATAAACCAATTTTAGGCCGTGAAAAGTGGGTATGGAGAATACTTTTTTCATTGCAATAATGCAATGCACGGTGTATTCCACAGATCGGTTCACAGCCAGCACTAAAACAAAACTTTGCTACATCACAGACATTCACCTACAAGACACGGCTCTATCGATAATTCAACACAGGCACCCATGACCGAGAACAGCAGTGAAATGAACGCGATCTGTATCTTTGTAAGCCCCTATGCATTTTCTTCTCCATGATAGAAATATCAATGGAATCGAAGGCTTCCTTGGATAAGTCTGTTGACTAGGAAGAATTGGTAAGCCAACATAAAAATGTGATACAGGGATTTCCAAAATTAAAAGCTAATTGTTTATACAGGGTGCAAAGTGCAAATATTTCAAACACTTAGAAAGCTCGACGTGTACTATCGAATGGCACTTATAAAAATAAATTAGGGATCAAAATAAAATTTGAGGTTAGACCCCTTTTTCCACTCAAAGTTCTACACTGTAGCAAATCTGCTACAGTGCAGCATTCCATGCGGTAGGCACAATCACGCGGTGTTCAATCATTTGAATTGTTTGAAAGTGGCGAACTCGATATTTTTCTCGTATTCTGTTCAATTTTCGGGATATTTGTCGTACAATTACTACCTGGAATCAATTTTGGAACACCCTGTATATGTTTGTAGATACTATACCGTTTTCCTAATGAGAATTATTGGTTGCATTTGATAGAAAATTAGGATTTTTAGCAATTTGAAAACATACCTATCTAGGTTTCCAGCAGTGTTCTGCAATCCTTCAGTCATTGCCCTTTTCTTAGCTTCAGCTGCATCGACGGTCTCTTGCAGCTTGCCCTCGACACTTTTAGTAGCGTTTTCTAGACTCTCAGTCATCGTCCTTTTCTTAGCTTCAGCTGCCTCGGCGGTCTCATGCAGCTTATCGTCCACATTCCTAGCTGTATTCTGCAGACTTTCTGCTATAGCCTTCTTCTTAGCTTCAGCTGTCTCTGCGATTTTCCTGGCAGTGCTTTCAGCTAAGTTCTGCGCATCTGCTGCTAGCTCTCTTCTCTTAGCTTCGGCTGCTTCTGCTGTCTCTCGCAGCTTATTATCGATGTTTCTAGCGGTGTTTTCAGCTAGGTTTTGGGCGCCTGCAGCTAGATCCCTCCTTTTAGCTTCAGCTGCCTCCGCGGTCTCTTGAAGTTTCTCGTCGACATTCCTAGTCGTATTCTGCAGACCTTCGGCTAGTGCTTTTTTCTTAGCTTCAGCTGTATCTGCAATGTTTCTGACTGTGCCTTCAGCTAGGTTTTGTGCATCTACAGCTAGCTCTCGTCTCTTAGCTTCGGCAGCTTCTGCTGTTTCTCGCAGCTTGTTGTCGATGTTTTTAGCGGTGTTTTCAGCTAGGTTTTGGGCGTTTCTACGTTTAGCTTCTGCTGCTTCGATGGTCTCTTGTAGCTTGTTGTCGGCGTTTTTAGCGGCGTTTTGCAGGCTTTCGTTGATTGCTTTTTTGTTGGCCTCAGCTGCCTCAGCGGTCTCTCGCAGCTTGTCCTCGATATTCTTTTTAGTATCCTCAGCTAGGTTTTGGGCATCTTCTGCGAGTTCTTTTCTTTTAGCTTCGGTAGCTTCGGCTGTTTCGTGTACCTTCGAGCCGATGTTGTGAGAAATATTCTGTACCCCTTCCATCATGGATTTTTTCTTAGCTTCGGCTTGTTCGAATGTTTCGTGGAGTTTGCTGTCGATGTTTGTTGCTAGGTTATGAACTCCTTCGCCTATCTCGTGCTTCTTAGCGTCAGCGGATTTGGCAGCTTCTCTTGCTTTGTCTCCTAAGAAGTCACCGGTGTCTGTGAGCTTCTGGTGGACATTGTGAGCTGCGTTTTGAACGCTGTCGGCTGCAGCTGCGCGCTTAGCTTCGACTGCATCGGCAGCTGCTCTGGCTCCGTTTTGGATGGCGGTGCCGGTTTCCTTCAGTTTGTTCTCGATGTTGTGTACACCTTCTGATAGAGCTCGGCGTTTAGCTTCGGCTGCTTCTTCGGTTTCTTTCACTTTTTGGGCCACGGCAGCTTCGGTGTCTCTCCATTTTTGGTTGGCAGATTGGCCTGTTTGTTGTATGGCAGCTTGAACTTCGTGTAGTCTAGTGTCAATGGCTTTACCGGCGTTCAGTAGGTTTTCCTGCATGGTGTGTTTGGTTGACTGGCCTGTCTCGGCAGCTTCCGTTACGGCGTTGTTGATGTATTCTGTCGCTTCGTCACCTTTTGTTTCTTTGAAAAAAAAATGATATTGACTTTTTAGGTACTCATTCATGTCATAAATAGTTAAATACTGTCTGTAGGTTAATCGAGGAGGTGGTACATTCATTATTCCGATTTTTTGGGATTTTCTCTCCTCGTTTCTATGAAATAAGAATATGAATATTATTTCAATATACATGTAGTAAGGACAAATCAGATGATTTGCCCCAAAATGTCACTACGTTTAAAGAATTTTCCTATCAGAGAGCCTAAAAGAAAAATTCACTAGCTTGTCAGTGACAATTTGTATTGAAAAAAGTTTGGAGAAGAGAAATGAAGGTATACAGGGTGGGCCACCAGTAACGCCTCGGTCTCTAGAAGGCTAACCACTTATCTTCTTGGAATTTTTCATCTCTAGGGAGTTGCATGTCAACATAGGCAACCATTTAAAATTATTTCGAAACATACAGGGTGTCCCCAAAAACCATAAAACACTGAAGTTAAACTTTTTTCTATCGAACACCCTATATATTATTTCATTTTGAGATTCTCCCTGATGAGCTGATTTCAACGACCCATCATACTTGGGGTCTAGCAGTTATAATTATTGAAATATAGGGTGTGAAAAATCGAGATTTTCCAAGTTCAAGAATTTTTTGTGTCGAAACTATTCATAATTGGTCAAAACGGCTCACATGTCCCTATCTCAACTTTTGATTAACTATCTACTGATATTTAATAGGGACATATACCGGGTGATCAAGATTCTGAATTCTGCACCACCCTTATTTGTTTCAATTAAATGTCAGTAGATAGTTGATAAAAAGTTGAGATAGGGACATGTGAGCCGTTTTGACCAATTATGAATGGTTTAGACACAAAAAATTCTTGAACTTGGAAAATCTCGATTTTTCACACCCTATATCTCAGTAATTATAACTGCTAGACCCCAAGTATGATGGGTCGTTGAAATCAGCTCATCAGGGAGAATCTCAAAATGAAATAATATATAGGGTTTTCGATTGAAAAAAGTTCAACTTCAGTGTTTTGTGATTTTTGAGGACATCCTGTATGTTTCAAAATAATTTCAAATGGTAGCCTATGTTGACATGCAACTTCCTAGAGAGGAAGAATTCCAAGAAGATAAGTGGTTAGCCTTCTAGAGACCGAGGCGTTACTGGTGGCCCACCCTGTATAGAAAACATTTTTACGTAGCTTTGGACGCTTCGGGACCGATTCTGCTCCCGCTTTCAACATAAGATATGATTATTTCAATAGCTAATAGTCGTATTTGTCTTCAAGATTTTCAGTTTTCATTGACAATTGGTGACGTTGGCAATCAAATGAGTTACAGGATGTTTTCATTAATTAATTTTGATTTTACCATTTTCATGTTCAGATTTCAGTAGTGAATACCATGTTCTGTCTATATCAACTGAACAAGAAGCAATGCTATTGTCTCCGTTCAGAAGAATGCAAGCAGTGAAAACTGTGTTCAAAACTGAGAATACAATGAGATAAATTCTGACTCAAACAAAGCCGAAAAATGAAGAAAAATCGTCAAAAAATTGTATTTACAGTATACCTTGTGTTTGTGGAAAGTTTTATACAGGTGAAACCAAGAGACCTCTTTCAGTAAGGACGAAGGAACATAAGTACAATATAAAGAAAAGAAACATCGATAAATCGAAACTAGCTGAACATATCCTTACTGAAGACGGACAACATATGGCAGAGTGGAATGATATTAAAATCATTGGAAAAGAAGATATCAACCAGAAGAGAAAAATCAAGGAATCTGCTTGCATTCTTCTGAACGGAGACAATAGCATTGCTTCTTGTTCAGTTGATATAGACAGAACATGGTATTCACTACTAAAATCTGAACATGAAAATGGTAAATTCAAGATTAATTAATGAAAACATCCTGTAACTCCTTTGATTGCCAACGTCACCAAGTGTCATTGAAAACTGAAAAGCTTCAAGACATATTATACGACTTCGCAATTGAAAAAATCTCTTCATGTTGAAAACGGGAGCAGAATCGGTCCCAAAACGTCCAAAGATAAGTGAAAATTTGATATTTTTTCTATATACCTTTATTGCTCTTCTCCAAAATTTTTTCAATACAAATTGTCACTGACAAGCTAGTGAATTTTTCTTTTAGGTTCTTTGATAAGAAAATTCTTTACATGCAGTGACATTTTGGGGCAAATCATCTGATTTGTCCTTACTACACGTATATTGAAATAATATTCATATTTTTATTTTATAGAAACGAGGAGAGAAAATCCCAAAAAATTTGGAATAATCATAAATAGTTATTTACCTAACATGTACGGAAAGTAGTACTTTTCCGCAAGAGTTAGGTACCATGCTTTTCCTACGAGTGTTCACATACATAGATCATTCAGTGTATCCTAAATATCCTCATTTTCAACAATACAATAATCGTGTGGAAAACTAACTTTCAGCGCTTGTGCGATGAAGTGAGTAACTTTTCTGCTCGATTTTATCAATTTATCGTGCGAAAAAGTACAAATCGTGCGGGAAAGTCACTTTAAGCACGTGTTAGGTTCAGTATTTTTTTACTACGTGCGGAAAAATACCAAATTCCTCTTTGTCGCACTCATTTGAGTGTTTAAATTTTTTCCGCATTCGTACGGAAAAGTGAAACCACCACCGCGCACGCTAGTAAAAAAAGTTTTTTCTCTACATTCAAACTATGTTTATACGACTGTCTATATAACCACCAGATTCTTATAAATACCACAATGTTCATCAAAAATTATAGACAAAATTTCTTAACTCTAAAATCAGGTGTATAGAGTGATTTCGTAAAGTACTAAATAAATCAATTTTTAGCCATACTATCCATTTCTGAGGAATCTGCTGAAACAGATCGTTTCTTATATCCAATTTGCCACATCAATAAGATAAAATTGAATATACATGGAGATCCACGTTTTACTTTTGACGACCGCAATATTTTTCTCGAATTTTGAGAATCTCCATGGGAAGCTGATTTCAATTACACATAAGATTTGTATACAGTGCGTCCCTTAAATTCAATGATCTCGTTAAAGTAGTGGATCGATTAATTTTATGTGTGACAAAAAAGTTTGACAGATCGTCTCTGTTGACAAGTCATAAAATGTCACTTTTCATAAATTACTTTTTTCCCACGTGAAAAAGGTGAGAACTTTTTTTTCGGATATATATACAGAGTATGTCACGTCGTAGAATACGCTCTCTTCATTCAAAATATATTCAGCAATACAGTGTTGCCGCTTCTATCAAAAAGTAGGCACAACTTTGTTATTTCAAAAGGAATACCCTGAATGTTATTGCATTTTCAGATTCTCCCTGAATAGCTGATTTCATCGATACATCGCACTTGGGGTCTATCGGAAATGAGGGTGTTCAAAATCGAGATTGTTCAACTTTAGAATTTGTTTGTGTCTATTCATTATCGGACAAAACGGCACACATGTCCCTATCTCAACTTTTGATTTACTATTTACTGATATTCAATCGGAACACATACAGGGTGGTTCAAGATTTAGAATTCTGATCACCCTGTATCTAGGGACATGTGAGCAGTTTTGACCGATAATGAATAGATTCGATACAAAAAATCCTCAAGTTGAAAAATCTATATTGATATTAGGGTCTATTATTATATACCTGTATTTCTGTTATCATTTTCGACAGACCCCAAGTGTGATACATCCGTGAAATCAGCTCTTGAGGGAGAATCTTGAAATGAGATAAAATACAGGGAGTTCCATTTGAAATATCAATGTTGCTACTACTTTCTAGTAGAAGCGGCAACACTGCATTGTCGAAAATATTTCGAATAGAAAGAACGTATTCTGAAATATAAGCATGCACATTTTCATGAATTTCTCCCAACTGTTTCTCGATATGATAATGTTAGCTCGTCGTGACATACCCTGTATACCCTGTATACAGGGTGTATTTAAATAACACCGAAAAAATTCAAGGGGTGATTCCTTGTAATATCTCAGGAAATAAAGTTTTTATAAACATGTGTCCTAACTTGCTTCGTTCTCGAGATACAGGGTATTCATATTACCATGAAAAATCTTTTTTCTATTCATTTCTCAATAGTCTGTCTTCTCATCAATTTGAATAAAACGTTGTGGTTTTGTTAATAGTGATATGGAGCTTCTTCTAGTGCAATTAGATTCGAAATAACGCCAGTGGCGTCACAGTGGGTAAATTTATCGATATTCATGGTGAATGTCTTTGTACACCCCGGTTTGTTGCAGAGTGGAATGATATTAAAATCATTGGAAAAGAAGATAATCATATCTTATGTCGAAAACGGGAGCAGAATCGGTCCCGAAACGTCCAAAGATAAGTAAAAATTTGATATTTTTTCTATTAACCTTTATTTCTCTTATCCAAACTTTTTTCAATACAAATTGTCACTGATAAGCTAGTGAATTTTTCTTTTAGGCTCTCTGATAGGAAAATTCTTTAAACGCAGTGACATTTTGGGCAAATCATCTGATTTGTTCTTACTACTCGTATATTGAAATAATATTCATATTTTTATTTTATAGAAACGAGAAGAGAAAATTCCAAAAAATTTGGAATAATGAATTTTCAAAGCAGTTTTCATAATTTTCAGTTTGATATTTGCTGTCACCATGCGTTGTCAAAAAGATGCATGTTGTCAAGATACGAATTCCACAAACTATACTACTACTTATTATGACAGAACACTTTGACAACATTTTTATTCTTTCTTAATTTTTGTGTTTCCGCCAGCGTGAGTAATAGTATAATATACACCTCAGGACAGAATGCTATTTTTCCCTCGTACGAAAAAATCTTGCATTTCTGTCCCTTGATGTATAATGTACAATTTTATATCGCCAATCAGGAGTGCTTTCAGTAATTTTTTCAAATTACATGATTCCTCTTGAATTTTCTCGAACATTCCAAATAGAAAATGGTACTTCTTTTAATCAACATCAGAGTATAGGTCATTATGTACA